ACCCAATCCGCACAATTCAAGCCCAAAGCCGGCGCCGACCTAGCTAGATTAGGTTTAGCCGCTTTATACTTAGAGCATTATAAATACTTCTTTTTAGCCTTGTAACTCAAGAAGGAGAGAGACCACAATCTATTTTACATCTTAATAAAGTTTTGCTTGCTTTTACTTTGTTCTTGCTTGTTACTCTTTCTAGAGAGGATTCGAATCTCTGTTCTTATGAATATGAATTCGTTTCCTTCTCTATGTCTGAGTAGTTTACTTGTTAAGTGATAGGAAGTCAAAGGATAGCATTCATGTATGCTTGATGATTGATCACAATTAGGGTTTTACTTATAATCTCCATCTTTGCTTATACTTAATGCTTGTTGTTAATCTGGCCAATTAGCATATGCCTTTAGGTTGATTTGAGCCTCGACAGTGCTGTATCATTCGCCTGAACTAGTATTTGGTGGGCAATCTCTTTTAGACTGCGAAAGTTGATCTACTTGTAGGTTGTGAACAATTGATCTTGATCGAACTAATGCTTGATTTAATCACCTAGGGACATACCAAAAGTTTAGCGACTAGGTAGATTAACAAAGGGGTCGGAGCCTCGACAGTGGAATGATCATACCATAGTGTTTCAAGTTCTAGATTAGCACCTAAGTGCGGTAACCCTAATTGATTGATTTCATGCTTCTTGAATTGCTTATCTCAAGACTATCCTATTGCTTAGCCTTTCTCTCCTATTGAATTCTTACTTTCTATTACTTGCATGCTTTACTTTCTCTGCACTCAACCAACTTATACTTTTGCCCTAGCTTGTCTCAAACTCATAACTTGTAGTGTGCAATCTGGTCCTTGTGTTCGATACCCGTTTACTACTTCTGACCTGTGCACTTGCAGAATCAGGGATAGGAAAGGGGAAGACCTGATCCCGCGATCAATAGTCTTGTGAATTTGCTTCACCTCACCTCTGTTTTGCCTTTAAACTTGTTGCATGTGCTTGAAATTTGAATTTGAGTTTGGTAATGGTTAGGTTGCTTTGGTTTTTCACTAGAATTGCTTATTGTTCCATTTACTTGTTGTTCTTGGTTCAATTTGATTGATTAAGCATCCTTTCCAGCTCTTAATTGTTTGATTAGGTTCGGTTATACTCTGTTTTCACCTAGCTCGATCGAGTTTGTCACTCGAGTTTTTTGACTCGATCGAGCTGAGTGTCGAGTTGACCGAACCGATCATTACAACTCTAATTCCTTGAGTTTTTGATGCATTTCAGGACCCAACTTCAAGAAGCAAACAGTTTAAGATGTTGAGAGGTGAAGGAAGCAAGCAGCGTTCACAAAGAGGAGATAACAAGAGGAGCAAGGAGAATGCTAAGACACTAACCAAGGAAGATGAGGAAGAGATTGAGAGGTTGAGGGAAGAGAGAAGGACCAAGAAGAGGAATGACCCATCAGCAGTGAGAGTGAAGGGAGAATTTGAGATTGGTGTGAACATGGGAAGGGGAGAGAGTGATGACTCTTCACAAGAGGAAGGAGGAAGAGAGTGAGCAAGAGAGTAACCAAGATGAACCCATGGAGGAGGTTGAGCCACAAGAGGAGGAGGAAGAACTCCCCATGTACCAAGAGCACTACAATGCTCTCTTCTCCATGGACTTTGTGGAACCAAGTACCCACATGTTGACACAATGAAGGCCCTTGGAATCTTTGAGATGTGGAGCTAGTTCTCAAGAACATGCACTTGGCCAAGTTTTCTCTATCACATGGAATCCTACAAGGAGCTCACTTGCGAGTTCTTGGCTTCAATGAGGTACCACATGTACGATGAGGAGGATAGAGCTGATTTGGACCAAGGATTGGGATGGATCACGTTCTTGGCTAAGGGAGAGAAGAGAATGGTGACCTTTAGGCAGTTGGAGATCTTGTTTGGGTTCAACTATGGAGAAGGGATTGAGTGGAACTTCAAGGAAAAGGAACTCCAAAGGGTTTGGGCTACAATCGCTGATGGAGGTACTCTTCCTCAAGGTCAAGGCAGCTCAAATCAGGAGCCCAGTGCTTGAGATATGTGCACAAGGCACTTGCCAACACCTTCTTTGCAAGGAAGGCAACCGGGACAATCAACGAGGGGGAACTCAAGCTTTCTTGACATGGGAATCAAGCCCATCTCTCACGCACAAGCGATGGCAAGAGGATCAGGGGAGATAGTCCACACAGGGAACTTGATGCCTTTCCTTGACCACCTCCTCACCTACAAGACACGCCTACAACACTCGCATCAACAAGGGAGAAGCTAAGTGTTGGAGGGCTCATCACTCCTATCTTGTGTGCTGCTGGAGTGAACCCAACTGATAAGAGCCACTGAACCAGGTTGGATGGACATCAAGTTTTGCAAGACCAACCTCCTCATTGAGCACAAGGAGTTGGATGGGAGGTTCCAATTCAAGTTCACACATCCATTGGTTGGACCCTCCAAGCTTCTCCTGCCCAACCCAGAGCTCACCACAGTGTAAGGGGTGAGAACATTGACTTCAGACCCCCTGTGTACACATTAGTTGGGCATGAGGATGATTGCGAGAAGAGGAGCCTGAGCTCGATCGAGCTGAGGATCGAGCTGAGTCGAGCTGAAGATCAGTCCAGGAGATGATTTGGGTGAGCCTGAGTGCTACTACTTTGAGGAGTATGAGGCTCCAAGGATGAACCCCTCTGTTGTGGCTGCCACAAGAGGATTGGACTTCTCCAAAAGTTCAACAAATGGCAAGGGAAAGCCATGGAAAGATGCAAAAGTCCATGGACAAGATGGTGAGCAAGATCAAGAGTTTGGAGAAGAAGGTTTCTGGTTCTTCATCAAGAAGAAGAAGGCAACCATGGCCCCCACTTCCCTAGGAGTAGATCACTCCTCACCACCCAAGGAGGCTCCCTGCCCAAGAGCCTCACAGAGCCTCTTCTTTCGAGCCAAGGGAAGGAGAGACAACACGCAGAGAAGGAGGAAGAGTTCCAAGGCCAGACGCTCCAGCTCGACCACCGGACTCGATCGAGTCCAAACAGAGGAAACTCAACTCGATCGAGCTGACGGTCGAGTTGACCTGAGGAGCCAGTTTGAGAACCCTGGATTCGAGTACGATCCAACCCTTACCAGGACTTCCCTCAGAGCATGGAACCCCTATGGACAGTCGAGCAGCCATGCTCCACCAAGGCCAAGGGAGCCACACACACTTCGATGAAGAAGAGGAAGAAGAGGAGCCGCAAGCTCGATCGAGGAGCAGAACCCGGCGAGTGGAGTGCTCCTGATGGCCGTCTGCCCTCTCCAGACCACGACCTTGCCTCCCAGTTCTTTGGGGGGCACTGAGGTATCAAACACCAACCCTTGTAATACCATTTCATATTTTCTTGCTTTGTTTTTTTTTCTTGGTTTTGCCCTCTTGAATCTTTCACTAAATTTCTCTCACACAAGGGACTGTGTGATTTAAGTTTGGGGGAGGGTTCAAGAGATGATTTAACCTTGTTTTCTTTGTTCTTAGTTTTTCATTCTCTTTTGCATAGAAAAACCAAAAAAATCATAAAATTTTCAAAAAATCCAAAAATATTTTCATCTTTTTGCATTCATATTTGTTAGATTGTTTAGGATTGCATTTTTCACTTGCATTGTTGATTTGACTTTGAAAACTTGTTCATCATTTGCGATTTCTTGAGTGCCCTGTTTTTAGATTCTTTTGTGCATTAGGGTGAGATTGATTGAGCAGCAAGAACCATGTTTATCTTGATCATATCACTGCATGCACATCTCATTCAACCATTGCTGTGATTTGATGCATTTCCCTATCTATTTGAACCATAACTTGATCTTTAATTACCAATGCTTGCATTTGATTTCAACTCATGGCTACCACATACATATCTGGACATTCTTTACCTATTTTCATATCCCTTTGCTTGTCCAGATAGCTGATCTCCATCTTTGAGACAGTTACCACACCTTAAACCTAAGCCTTTTCATTTCAAACCCCATTATTATCTCTTGTGCGAATTGTGAGAACCTTTCTTGGCTTTGCTTAGCATAAGGTGTTGTGTTTAAACCGGCAGGGGCAGTAGTTCTAGTTGTCTAGTTCTCTTGGGATTGTTTTCAGGCTAAGTTTGGGGGTGCCAACTCGAGCTCGATCGAGTTGGGTGTCAAAAACCAGAAAAGTGGTAAAAGTTGGGAAAATCCAAAGGAAAAAGAGTTTAGTTAAGTCCAGGGAGTTGGCAGTGTTAAAAAGGGTCTAGTAAAGGTTTGGGAAGTTAAAAAAGGAAGTAAAAAGGGTTCTAAGTAGAATGAAAAGAAGGCAAAGCCTCAAGTGTCAAAAAGGAAAGAAAAGTTCCCTAAGTGTTTAGAAAATCCCAAACCGCTAGATGTTACCTCAAGAAGCCTCTCCCTAGGAAGTTCTTAAAAGAAAAGTGAGCAAAGCTCCTCAGTTTCAAAGGCGAAATGCCAAAAAGGGTAGTTAGGATTTTGTTCTAAAAAGCTCTAAGTGTTGAACTCGATCGAGTTAGGATTACGGCTCGAGCTGCTGTTCTTGCATCATCTTTGGTTCTAACACTTAGCCTTCTGCCAAAGCAAAGCCACTTTCTTGAGAGATCCCTGTTACTAAACCACCATACAAAAGAGACCCTCTTTGTCTCTTAACCCATAAACCCTTGAAACCAAATGAGTTGATTGATCTTGCATGTTTTTGGTTCACTGTTTTTGCTTAATGAATGTTAAAGGGATTTGCTGATTTGAATGCATTGTTTGAGTGACTGTGAAGTGGGATTGATGTTGATAAGCATGGTTAAATCTTAATGAATATCTCTCACCTTGTTGCATTCTAGAATCTCTAAGTTGGACATTTAGCAAATCGCTTTTGAGGACATGTTTTTAAGTGTTGAATCAACTTGTTTTCAAACCTCATCTCTTTCTTGTTCTATTTGTTTGCTTGAGGGCAAGCAAAGTCAAGTTTGGGGGTGTTGATGTACTTGCATTTTTCATAGTTTTAGTACATCCTTTTCCTTTCTTATGCATTGGGCATCAGAGAATCCTCAAGGTTTCATAGATTAAATCAAGCAAATAGATAGGGAAATCAATAGTTTGTTCTAGAACTCGAATCAATAAGTATAATTGACCTACTCCCGCAGTGCCAATTACTATGTCTAACAACCTAAATCACACAACTTCCGCAGGTAATCAAGAGGTTAAGCATGTAAGAACAGTTCAAATTCGATAGCTCTACTTCCGTAGGTCTAGTTCACAAAGCCTTGCAATTCTACTTCCGTAGGTTACTATGCCTTGCTCATCTAAGTTGATTCAAGAGATTTATCAAGCGGTCAGAATGTAAATCTACCTAAGAGCATTAGCTTAGACGGTCAATCAAGCTACAAGCAATAAACACAAACTTAGATGAAGAACTTTAATGATAAAACCCTAATCTAGCAACCTTACAATCAATCCATGAAAACCCTTTGAAAACTCTTAAACCCAAAAAGGAGATTACTCAAACATAGTAACAGAGATCAAGCATAGAGATGAAGAAGTATTCATAATAAAACTTGATAGAAAGTAAAAGGGTTTAGAAATCTCCTCTATAGTGTTACAAAGGTGAGATCTTCTCCCATGAAGCTCTAAAACGAAATCAATGTAAACTCTCTAAAACTAATGCGGCTCTCTCTCTAAAGAGGCTAAAAAAGAGTATTTATAGTGCCCTAGGTCTTCCACAAGTCGGTTGAGGTGAAACGGGCTGAGAATTGTCAAACTGCATAAGTGGGCTTCTTGTTCGCGGAGCTCGGGTCGACCGTGCAAGGGATGTGGTCGGCCGTCGGGGTCGGCCGTGATGTGATGATTCGGTCGATCGTGGTCCATTGCCTCCCGGGTCGGACGGTGCGGTCGTGCGGCCGGATCGGTCCTGGAGAAGGCCGAGCGAAGCCAATTCCCTTCCTGTCCGGCCGAGTGCGTTCGGCCGGCTGTGGACCAGTCTTCAGTACAAACGTGATATCTCCTAAACGGCTTATCCAAATTGCATACTTCCAACGGCATTAGAACACTAACTCATCTGGCTATCTTGGTGTTGAGTTTCATTGAAATCCATTGAGTTTAAGGGTCCAAGCCGCTGCTGCTCGTCTGATGTACTGATGCAGTCCGATAAAGCTCCTCGGTATATGTCTCAGGGAAATAGAGATATCTCCCAATCTACTCGGTCAAATTGATTGATTCCAGTTGCATTGCAAAGCTAACTCATGTATGCATCCTCGAACTGATTTGATGAAGTCCATTGAGTAGAATGTTTTTAAGGCCCTTCTTAAGTTGATGCTACGTCCTTGGAGTGGTCTTGAAGTCCAAATCCTGTGTTTTGCTCCAAAATGCATCTTTTGACCTGTTTAGACTCTAAGTACTATAAATCCATAAAAACTACCTTTTTAGATCAGAAAGCCATTAAAAACCTTATGAAAAGCATAGTAAAACCATATAAAAAGCATGTAAAATAGAGGTATATCAACTCCCCCAGACTTAGATCTTTGCTTGTCCCCAAGCAAATCGAATCCAAACTAGTGAAGAGGTTTTGAAAACATGGAAACTCACTTATCCTTTAGAACTTGTATCTACCATTGCTCTGCTTTCATTTGGAGCAAAACCAACTTTGAAACTAGCTTTCCCGTACTGACCTTGAGCTTAGCGAACCATACCGGACCCAACAAATCTCATCCAGTATTCCAAACTCTCTATTGCTAACTCCTTGCAGTATTTAAAACGTGTGGTCTTTATCAAGGGAGTATTGATCACAGAGCATTGATTCTTACCCATCCAAGTGTTTGCCAAGACAGTCTTTTTAGCACATTCAGTACCAAACCTCTCTCCTTCTCTCTTATCATTGAAGGATCAATTTTTCCCTACTTTTCTAGGGTATCATTTTATTTTTTCTATCGATCCTCCTTCCCTTAAGATTTCTCTTCTGGGACACATGGATTGGCTTTAAGCTTCCTCCTTGTTTATAAGGTATTCCATAAGACATGAAGGTACAGAAGTATGCATTCCTCATGCTTACTTGTTTTCCTTGTGCTATAAAGCTTTTGATTTTCTTTTGCAGATAAGAGAGAGGATGGACTGTTTCTTTATTGACATGTCTCAACTAGACCTGAATGAGGAGTCGGCTCATATGTATCTCAAGCCCCTTGACAAGAAAATTAAAGGTTCATTAAGTTGTGGAGTTAACTTTAGATTGCGTGGGTACCTTAGAAATCTTGCCAAATCAGTAGGTCGATCCACCCTCAGAGGTTCCGTTAGGCATTGTTCGGCATCGTATTCGCCTTTGTGATCACAAGAGCTTTGGTGTGATAAGGTAAGCTCCTAGATAGATCATAGTTTCCTAACTTATTTTGACTCAATAAAACAGAAGTTTTGAAAAAGGTGAAAAGAGAAAAGATATAAGATGAAGACAAGGCATGAACAAACACATTAGTACCAACAATCCCCCCAGACTTAACTTGCACCGTCCCGGTGAAAGCAAATCCGATTAAGGGAGGAAAAAGAAAGAGGTAATAATGTGTGAGTGAATGAGAAGAAAGATATAACCTGATTAGACTTAAGTCCATGAAGAAACACCCATTGGTGATATGTGGTTGTCCTTCTCCTTTGATAGGTTGAGATAAGCCTTAGGTCATCAAGATCAGGGCCGGTTTGGTGAATGGGACACTTCCTCATGTGATATTGGTCGGTGAGTTTTGAATTTCAGGGCCTGGTTCACTCCGGTTTGCGTTTTGGCCGAGTATGGTCCATTTCGGTCGTCCGACAGGGTATGCTATGAACTACAGAACAAACCATGAATAATTCTTCGACCCATATTTTATCGAACGAGCGGTTTGAGAGATCCTTCACAAAGTGGTCCAATCGGCTCCAGGAAGAGGTTTCTTGCCATCCTTGAGTTTGGCTCGTTCGTTTTTATATTCCTTTGGAAATGTGTTAATGAAGCTCCATGAAGTGTTTTCCAGCCGGTGGGCGCGCTATGCCGTGATTTGGTTTTGTCGGCCATTTTGCTTGACTAGATCGGCCGGATGTGCTCCTTGGTCTATCTCCTGAACCGTGAACATTTCACCGCCCTATCTTTTGGATTTGCCGACCAAAATTTGATTTTATGGCCGCCTGTGAAGTTTGGTGGACTTTGGAAACACGGTTTGGGAGGTGGCCGATGATTGCTCCTTTCTTCATTTTTCTAGGTTTCTTCTCAAATTTCATGCTAGATTCTCAAACCTATGTATTCAAAACTTCAAAAACAAAACAAAAACATTAAGCTAAAAAAAAAAATAAGAAGGGAAAAGAAAACACCTTATGGGTTGCCTCCCATACAGCGCTTGTTTAATGTCATTAGCTTGACGTTATGGCTCTTCTTAGGCAAGTGGGGCATCGACTAAAGGAACTGTTGCTCTCTCATCCTCATCAATGTCTGCGAGATATGGCTTGAGTCTTTGTCCATTAACAGTGAAATCACCTCCAGAATGGTTCCAAATTACAACAGCGCCATATGGTTTCACTTCTTTTATCTTAAAAGGTCCGGACCATCGCGATCTAAGCTTACCGGGAAAGAGGTTTGATGCGGGATCAGGTTTTCCCTATTCCTATCCCTGATTCTGCAAGTGCACAGGTCAGATGTAGTAACGGGTTATCGAACACAAGGACCAGATAAGTTACACTATGAGTTTATGAGATTCAAATCAAGCTAGGACTCAAGTATGGAGGTTTGTTGTTGTCACGGATTCAAAGCAAAGTAAACTAAATAATATGAAAGCAATAGGAGAAAGCATTGGGCATCAGAGAATCCTCAAGGTTTCATAGATTAAATCAAGCAAATAGATAGGGAAATCAATAGTTTGTTCTAGAACTCGAATCAATAAGTATAATTGACCTACTCCCGCAGTGCCAATTACTATGTCTAACAACCTAAATCACACAACTTCCGCAGGTAATCAAGAGGTTAAGCATGTAAGAACAGTTCAAATTCGATAGATCTACTTCCGTAGGTCTAGTTCACAAAGCCTTGCAATTCTACTTCCGTAGGTTACTATGCCTTGCTCATCTAAGTTGATTCAAGAGATTTATCAAGCGGTCAGAAAGTAAATCTACCTAAGAGCATTAGCTTAGACGGTCAATCAAGCTACAAGCAATAAACACAAACTTAGATGAAGAACTTTAATGATAAAACCCTAATCTAGCAACCTAACAATCAATCCATGAAAACCCTTTGAAAACTCTTAAACCCAACAAGGAGATTACTCAAGCATAGTAACAGATCAAGCATAGAGATGAAGAAGAATTCATAATAAAACTTGATAGAAAGTAAAAGGGTTTAGAAATCTCCTCTATAGTGTTACAAAGGTGAGATCTTCTCCCATGAAGCTCTAAAACGAAATCAATGTAAACTCTCTAAAACTAATGCGGCTCTCTCCTCTAAAGAGGCTAAAAAGAGTATTTATAGTGCCCTAGGTCTTCCACAAGTCGGTTTAGGTTAATTGGGCTGAGAATTGTGAAAACTGCATAAGTGGGCTTCTTGTTCGCGGAGATTGGGTCGACCGTGCATGGGATTTGGTCGGCCGTCGGGGTCGGCCGTGATGTGATGTTCTCGGTCGATCGTGGTCCATTGCCTCCCGGCTCGGACGGTGCGGTCGTGCGGTCGGATCGGTCCTGGAGAAGGCCGAGCGAAGCCAATTCCCTTCCTGTCCGGCCGAGTGCGTTCGGCCGGCTGTTAACCAGTCTTCAGTACAAACGTGATATCTCCTAAACGGCTTATCCAAATTGCATACTTCCAACGGCATTGGAACACTAACTCATCTGGCTATCTTGGTATCAGGTTTCATTGAAATCCATTGAGTTTAAGGGTCCAAGCCGCTGCTGCCGTCTGATGTACTGATGCAGTCCGATTAAGCTCTCTCGTATACGTCTCAGGGAAATAGAGATATCTCCCAATCTACTCGGTCAAACTGAGTGATTCCAGTTGCGTTGCAAAGCTAACTCACGTATGCATCGCCTCGAACTGGATATTGATGAATCCATTAGAGTAGTTTTTTAAGGCCCTTCTTAAGTTGATGCTACGTCCTGGAGCGGTCTTGAAGTCCAAATCATGTGTTTTGCTCCAAAATGCATCTTTTACCTGTTTAGACTCTAGTACTATAAATCCATAAAAACTACCTTTTTAGATAGAAAACCATTAAAAACCAATAGTAAAACCATATAAAAAGCATGTAAAATAGAGGTATATCAACTCCCCCAGACTTAGATCTTTGCTTGTCCCCAAGCAAAAGAATCTAAACTAGTGAAGAGGTTTTGAAAACGTGGAACTCCCTTGCTCTTTGAAATCCTGTGAAAGGTTCCTTTCCTGTATTCCACTAAGAACATAGCAACATAAGGTTAGCTTCACATACACCCTGCAAGTTTAGCGAACAATACCAACCCAACTAGTCTCATCCAGCAATCCAAACTCTCTATTGCTAACCTCTTGCATAAATTTAAAGCGTGAGTTCTTTATCAAGGGAACATCGATCAATTGAACTTGTTCTTACCCACTTGATCTTCTCCAAGATTGATGCAATGAGTTCTTTTCCTCTCTCTTTCTCACATCAGAACTTTGAAAGGTCAATTTCTCCCTACTTTTCTAGGGTATCATTTTATTTTTTCTATTGACCCTTCTTTCAACCACAGGATAAGTCTTTAGCTTGTTCCTTGTTTGATAAGGTATTCCATAAGACATGAAGGTACAGACATATGCATTCCTCATGCTTACTTGTTTTCCTTGTGCTCTTTGAGCTTTTCTCATAAACATTACTTACCATTTGGGATGGGAGAGAGAGGAGAACTCTTTAGACAAATCTCATTGAAAATCAAGCAAGGAACTGTCGACATGTATGCCAATCCCCTTGACAAGAGTTATTAAGATTGATTAAGGGTGAGGTTAACTCTAGATTGCTTGGTTACCTTAGAAATTTCGCTGAGCTAGCATGCGATCCACTGTAAGAGCTTCTGTTAGGCTTGTGCCTTCAGCTGATGTCTGCTCTAGGGTCATAGATTGTTAGCATAACACTATCAAATCTCAAAGCAAGTTCATAACTTTTTGACTCAATAAAACAGAAGTTTTGAAAAAGGTTGAAAAAAAATATAAGATAAAGACAAGGCATGAACAAACACATTAGTACCAACAATCCCCCCAGACTTAACTTGCACCGTCCCGGTGAAAGAAAATCCGATTAAGGGAGGAAAAAGAAAGAGGTAATAAGTGAGTGAATGAGAAGAAAGATATAACCTGATTAGACTTAAGTCCATGAAGAAACGACCCATTGGTGATATGTGGTTGTCCTTCTCCTTTGATAGGTTGAGATAGGTCCTTAGGTATCAAGATCAGGGCCGGTTTGGTGAATGGGACACTTCCTCATGTGATATTGGTCGGTGAGTTTTGAATTTCAGGGCCTGGTTCACTCCGGTTTGCGTTTTGGCCGAGTATGGTCCATTTCGGTCGTCCGAAGGGTATGCTATGAACTACAGAACAAACCATGAAGAATTCCTCGACCCATATTGAAATTTCATCGACCAACCTGATATTTTATGCCATTGATGAAGTTGAGATCAATCGAACGAGCGTTTGAGAGATCCTTCACAAAGTGGTCCAATCGGCTCCATGGAGAGGTTTCTTGGCCATCCTTGAGATTGACTCGTTCGTTTTGTACTCTTCCTTTGGAAGTGTGTTAATGAAGCTCCATGAAGTGTTTTCCAGCCGGTGGGCGCGCCTATGCCGTGATTTGGTTTTGTCGGCCATTTTCTTGACCTAGATCAGCCGGATGTGGCTCCTTGGTCTATCTCCTGAACCGTGAACATTTCACCGTCCTATCTTTTGTATTTGCCGACCAAATTCGATTTTATGGCCGCCTGTGAAGTTTGGTGGACTTTGGACACACAGTTTGGGAGATGGCCGATGATTATTCTCCTTGTATCCTCCATGGCCGAGAGAAATAGGCCGGTTAGAATATCCTCAAATCCACTCGGGCCAATGAAGATTTTCTTCGACCAAAGTGATTTTCTAACCCTTCTTTATCATTCCCAGGTGTTGGCTGCCTTTTTCCTTGAGGTTGGGTATGAACCTCCTTTGAAGCCTCCTTTAAGATAAGTGGGCTGTGATGGATGTGGGATGGGATGGATTGTGGAATAGGATAGGGATGGGATGGAGGGTTGTAGGAGAGAGGTCCAGAGGGAACACGGCCGACCATAGATGCGTTCCGGTCAGTCATCGGGATCGGCCCGGCCATATTCGCTCCTTTCTTCATTTTTCTAGGTTTCTTCTCAAATTTCATGCTAGATTTTCAAATCTCTGTATTCAAAACTTCAAAAACAAAACAAAAACATTAAACTAAAACAAAAAGTAAAAAGGGAAAAGAAAACACCTTATGGGTTGCCTCCCATACAGCGCTTGTTTAATGTCATTAGCTTGACGTTATGGCTCTTCTTAGGCGAGTGGGGCATCGACTAAAGGAAATGTTTCTCTCTCATCCTCATCAATGTCTGCGAGATATGGCTTGAGTCTTTGTCCATTAACAGTGAAATCACCTCCAGAACGGTTCCATAGTACAACAGCGCCATATGGTTTCACTTCTTTTATCTTAAAAGGTCCGGACCATCGCGATCTAAGCTTACCGGGAAAGAGTTTCAGGCGTGAGTTGAAAAGGAGAACCTGGTCATTGGGAGAGAACGTCTTGGGGACTATCTTCTTGTCATGATATGCTTTTGTTCTTTCCTTGTAGATCCTAGAATTCTCATAGGCATTATGACGAATTTCATCCAACTCATTCAACTGAATCAAGCGCTTCTCCTTTGCTGTCTTGATGTCGTAGTTCAGCTTCTTTACTGCCCATTCCGCCTTATACTCAATCTCAACAGGAAGATGGCAAGATTTCCATAGACAAGGTGAAAAGGAGTTGTTCCAAGTGGGTTTTGAATGCAGTTCTATATGCCCAAAGAGCATCATCAAGCTTTACTGACCAATCCTTTCTTGTCATTCCCACTGTCTTCTCTAAGATCCTCTTGATTTCTCTGTTAGAAATCTCTACTTGCCCACTTGTCTGAGGGTGATAAGGAGTAGCAACCTTGTGTCTCACTCCATTTTTCTTCAGTAGACTTTCAAAGACTTTGTTGATGAAATGAGATCCTCCATCACTAATCACAACTCTTGGGATACCAAATCTTGGAAAGATGATCGACTTGAATAACTTTATCACCACCTTGGAGTCGTTTGTAGGGCTGGCTATGGCTTCTACCCACTTAGACACATAGTCAACAGCAACAAGGATGTACTTGTTCCCATAAGAAGAAGGAAAAGGACCCATGAAGTCTATTCCCCAAACATCAAAAACTTCCACTTCTTGGATGAAGTTTTGTGGCATCTCATTCCTTTTGCTGATGTTTCCTTGTCTCTGGCAAGCATCACACTTAGAGATGAAGTCATGGGCGTCCTTAAACATGGTGGGCCACCAAAAACCAGCTTGCAAGATCTTAGCAACAGTCTTGTTAGTAGCAAAATGTCCTGCATAGTCAGATCCATGACAAGCAAAGAGAACTCCTGGGACTTCTTCTTCTGGAATACATCTTCTAAACATACCATCAGAACAATGTTTATAAAGATAAGGTTCGTCCCAAAAGTACCTTCTAACATCACGTAAGAATTTCTTCTTCTTGTAGCCAAAGAATTGGGGTGGTGGATGATCAGCAGCAAGATAGTTGGCAATGTATCTAAACCAAGGAGTGTCGGATGGTGCTGGTTTTGGAGGTGCTCTAGGACGTCTCTCAAGGTGGAAAACTTCCTTAGAACTATCTGCATCACACTCTTTAGGCATCACAGTCGAAACCTTGTCTCTTAAGCAACTCTCATGATCAGGGTTCACTGATTTGGTAACTTCGTAAGATCTTATGTAAAGAGCTTGCTTGGAAACGTTTTGAGGCTTCTCCTTCTCTTCTCCATGGTCTAAACTCAATCTGCTGCCATTCCTAATGGTTATACAATAAGAGCTCTTGGTAGGGACTGCTGGATAAAAGACTCTCTTCTTTACTCTAGAGAAAGAAACTCTTTGGTTTGGATAGTCCACATTAGCTCCAACTGTTGCAAGGAAGGAACTACCAAAAACCAATGGCGTTAGGGGTTCCTCATTCATCTCTAGAATATGAAAATCTGTAGGAACAAGACAACCTCCCACTTGTACCAATATATCTTGAGCAAAGCCATATGGGGTAATAGTAGAGGCGTTTCCAAACTTCAGTGATGTTTGAGAGTCTTTAATGTCAACTATTCCAAGCTCATAACTTCACATTAGCTCCTGTATCGCAGAGGGAATCAATAAAATCCATACCATTGATTGTGCATGGGAAAACAAATTGCCCTGGATCTTCCATCTTATGCAGCTTTCTTTGATGAGGTCCCTTGTAGATTGGCTCATCATCTTCAGGCCATTCCAATGGGTTTTTGAGGGTTGAATGATCTCTAGGGGCTGGTGAGACCACGTCCTTGTTCTGAGTTGTGATAACTTTGCAAACTCTTGGATTTAACTCAGTCTTACTTGGAAGAAAACCCTCTTGCCTCTTCATACCTTCTGCAGTTTGAGCAACTTGCACCTCAAGCATCTTCACATGATTGGTTAGATCAAAGAGCTTTGCAAATATCTCATCATCTTTTCTGTTGAGATGACCATAGTCGTTCGCCATTTTGAACTCAAGGTTTTCAATCTCTTGGGCGTTTTGCTCTTGTCTTTCCATCATATGTTGTTGATTTTCCATTAGCTGTTGCATCATAGCTTCGAGTCTTTCCTCTCTAGCATCAATGTAGTTGACTTCTCCTTGCTGCTTATGAGAGTTATCACCATTACACTCCTCTTTATCCTTACCATGAGAAGCTCCCATGTTCTCACATTGGTATGCATCCCTTTGCTGGTTCTTGAGAAATTGAGCAACCATTGATTTCAGCTCAAGGATTTCTGAAAAGTCTGAACTTGGCTTGATGTGCTCCACGTTTTTCTCATAGTCCAAGCAAGAATATTTGTTGCTTGCAGCCAAGTTATCAATGAGAGTATTGGCTTGAGCAACTGTATTAGTCATGAAGTCCCCTTGACTTGCGATGTTGAGTGCCATCTTGAATTTCTCATCAACTCCTTGATAGAAGAAGTTTAGCAAAGCAATCTCTGTAAAACCATGGTGAGGGCACTCTCTCTTGTACTCCTTGAACCGTGAAACAGCCTCAAAGAATGATTCATGTGCCTCATGTCGAAATTCTGAGATTCTTCTTCTCATCCATTTTAATCTCTCTTTTGGGTAGAAATTCTTCAAGAAAGCTCTCTTGTATTCATCCCAAGTAGTGATTGATCCTGCTGGAAGAGCCCTCATCCATTTGTATGCCTTCTCAACCAAAGAGAAAGAGAATAAAGTACACTTCAAGTAATCCTCAGAAATTCCACTACATCTCCTTGTAGCGCAGATTTCTTCAAACTTCTCAATATGATCAATGGGCTGCTCTTCTTCTAGGCCACGAAACTGATGCTGCTCCACCAAAGCAATGAGTTTAGAGCTTATCTTGAACTCTCCAGTAGGTCGTGAAGGGCATATAGGTTGGCGGTTTGTGAAAAAGATGTCTAGTGAGTCAAACTCTCCAATGGTGCGGTTTTGAGGATCCATTGTGATATCTTCTTCAAGAGGTTCTATCTCTTCCTCAAGCTAACCTGAAACACAAAGAGATAGAGAAAAGTAACAAAATAATAAAAACAAAAACCAAGAAAAACCAAAAACAAAAATAAAAACGAAAATTAAAGCTATCCTAGACTAGATTCTAATCCGAAACTCAAAGGCAACTGTATTGGTCCCCGGCAACGGCGCCAAAAACTTGATGCGGGATCAGGTTTTACCTATTCCTATCCCTGATTCTGCAAGTGCACAGGTCAGATGTAGTAACGGGTTATCGAACACAAGGACCAGATAAGTTACACTATGAGTTTATGAGATTCAAATCAAGCTAGAGATGAAGTCATGGGCGTCCTTAAACATGGTGGGCCACCAAAAACCAGCTTGCAAGATCTTAGCAACAGTCTTGTTAGTAGCAAAATGTCCTCCATAGTCAGATCCATGACAAGCAAAGAGAACTACTGGGACTTCTTCTTCTGGAATACATCTTCTAAACATACCATCAGAACAATGTTTATAAAGATAAGGTTCGTCCCAAAAGTACCTTCTAACATCACGTAAGAATTTCTTCTTCTTGTAGCCAAAGAATTGGGGTGGTGGATGATCAGCAGCAAGATAGTTGGCAATGTATCTAAACCAAGGAGTGTCGGATGGTGCTGGTTTTAGAGGGGCTCTAGGACGTCTCTCCAAGTGGAAAACTTCCTTAGAACTATCTGCATCACACTCTTTAGGCATTACAGTTGAAACCTTGTCTCTTAAGCAACTTTCATGATCAGAGTTCACTGATTTGATAACTTCATAAGATCTTATGTAAAGAGCTTGCTTGGAAACGTTTTGAGGCTTCTCCTTCTCTTCTCCATGGTCTAAACTCAATCTGCTGCCATTCCTAATGGGTATACAATAAGAGTTCTTGGTAGGGACTGCTGGATAAAAGACTCTTTTCTTTACTCTAGAGAAAGAAACTCTTTGGTTTGGATAGTCCACATTAGCTCCAACTGTTGCAAGGAAGGAACTACCAAAAACCAATGGCGTTAGGGGTTCCTCATTCATCTCTAGAATATGAAAATCTGTCGGAACAAGACAACCTCCCACTTGTACCAATATATCTTGAGCAAAGCCATATGGGGTAATAGTAGAGGCGTTTCCAAACTTCAGTGATGTTTGAGAGTCTTTAATGTCAACTATTCCAAGCTCGTCTTCTATAAGCTTAGACATAACATTCACATTAGCTCCTGTATCGCAGAGGGAATCAATAAAATCCATACCATTGATTGTGCATGGGAAAACAAATTGCCCTGGATCTTCCATCTCATGCAGCTTTCTTGATGAGGTCCCTTGTAGATTGGCTCATTATCTTCAGGCCATTCCAATGGGTTTTTGAGGGTTGAATTATCTCTAGGGGCTGGTGAGACTACGTCCTTGTTCTGAGTTGTGATAACTTTGCAAACTCTTGGATTTAACTCAGTCTTACTTGGAAGAAAACCCTCTTGCCTCTTCATACCTTCTGCTGTTTGAGCAACTTGTACCTCAAGCATCTTCACATGATTGGTTAGATCAAAGAGCTTTGCAAATATCTCATCATCTTTTCTGTTGAGATGACCATAGTCGTTCGTCATTTTGAACTCAAGGTTTTCAATCTCTTGGGCGTTTTGCTCTTGCCTTTCCATCATATGTTGTTGACTTTCCATTAGCTGTTGCATCATAGCTTCAAGTCTTTCCTCTCTAGCATCAATGTAGTTGACTTCTCCTTGCTGCTTATGAGAGTTATCACCATTACACTGATGATAGGATTTTGTGGGTGTGATATGATATGAATGAAGGTGATAAGATATGAGGTGGAATGCAAACAGGGGTGAATAAAGATGAAATGGTGCAATCACAATCAATCAATTCCTCTTAACCATCATAGTCATGTAGTATAAGAGGTTATCAATCCAAAATGGGAAACTTGTCACTCTTTGAGAATATGAAACAACCAGAAAGTCAAGCAAGCAGTAATAGATTTGAAGTAACACTAACAACCTAAAAAAATGAAATGCAGTGCAATAAAAGTAAACAAAGCAGTGAAGTAGCAGCTCGACCAAGACTCGAGTCGAGTCAACAAAGTACCAGCTCGATCGAGTTTAGGGACGAGTTGAGACAAACAAAGCTAAAGGTGACGACTTTAACAAGATAAGAGAGAATTAGGGTTCAAGACAGGGTTTTGCAATCAAAGGAATCTACACTTAATCAATCTAGCTCTTAAAACTCCTTGTATCAAGGCTTCTCTTGATATTGGGCTTCTCAATGCCTAGCCAACCCTTTCCCAAGGTGAGGCTATCAACCAAGGAATGATCTCAGAAACAGGGGGTTAGCCAGTGAGAATCAAACCTTGGAGGCTATAGGATCATTGCCCAAACTAATCCATCCAACCCCTTAGACCTCTATTGTCTAGAGCAAGAGATATTGGAGCTCTTAGTGGATCTTTTCCAGCGAATGCCATCACTTTCGTGTGGGGAGTCGCCTAAGGACTTACAAGCCAGGGGTAGTGGTCATGTAGCCTTAAGATCTATCCAAAAGAGAGAGAATCTAGATTAAGACCATAAGCTAGAAGGATTAAGCATATGAAACCTCTAATCTATCCCATCTCAAACCCTAATGGGTAACTACTCACTACACATGAATGTAAACACAAGCAAATGCAATAAAAGAGACATCATAAGAAAGAGGAGATGAAATTAAACAACTTTTATTGAAATAAGCAAGTGCAAATACAAAGAAGATTAATCCAGGATCTAAGATTCAAGAAGCAAGAGCTTCAAGAACACAAAGATGGGATTAGATCTCTAAAAAGTAAAAGACAATAAATTAAAGAAACTAAAACAAAATAATCTAAAGCTTGGTGGTTTTTTCGTGGCTTAGAGCCTTTAAATACAAGAGGATTAGGTTTAGGGTCAAAGGAAAGTCAAGGGGGAAGCAACATTTTTCGGGTTTGACTTTGACTTCTCAGCTCGATCGAGTTGAAGCTTGGCCGGTCGAGTTGAGGAACTCGACCGGTTGGTCGAGTAGACGGTCGAGCTGGTCTTCAAGATGGCTTCTCCCTTCTTCCTTTGCGTATCCAGTTGAGCTGCTTCCATGTGCCAAGTCCCTCCATGCTCCTCATGTCCCATATGCTCCAGAATGCTCCAAAAGACCTATTTCAAAGGACCAAACATGCATATGTATGCAAATGCAACCTAAAACTAACATGAATGCATAAGAAGAGAAAAGGAACAAGATATGATGCAAATGGAAGCTAAAACTATGCAAAAGATGCATAAAAGATGTGCTAAAACTATGTAAAATGCAAGTACATCATACACTCCTCTTTATCCTTACCATGAGAAGCTCCCACGTTCACATTAATATGCATCCCTTTGCTGGTTCTTGAGAAATTGAGCAACCATTGATTTCAGCTCAAGGATTTCTGAATAGTCTGAACTTGGCTTGATGTGCTCCACGTTTTTTCCAAGCAAGAATATTTGTTGCTTGCAGCCAAGTTATCAATGAGAGTATTGGCTTGAGCAACTGTATTAGTCATGAAGTCCCCTTGACTTGCGATGTTGAGGGCCATCTTGAATTTCTCATCAACTCGTTGATAGAAGAAGTTTAGCAAAGCAATCTCTGTAAAACCATGGTGAGGGCACTCTCTCTTGTACTCCTTGAACCGTGAAACAGCCTCAAAGAATGATTCATGTGCCTCATGTCGAAATTCTGAGATTCTTCTTCTCATCCATTTTAATCTCTCTTTTGGGTAGAAATTCTTCAAGAAAGCTCTCTTGTATTCATCCCAAGTAGTGATTGATCCTGCTGGAAGAGCCCTCATCCATTTGTATGCCTTCTCAACCAAAGAGAAAGAGAATAAAGTACACTTCAAGTAATCCTCAGAAACTCCACTACATCTCCTTGTAGCGCAGATTTCTTCAAACTTCTCAATATGATCAATGGGCTGCTCTTCCTCTAGGCCACGAAACTGATGCTTCTCAACCAAAGCAATGAGTTTAGAGCTTATCTTGAACTCTCCAGTAGGTCGTGGAGGGCATATAGGTTGGCGGTTTGTGAAAAAGATGTCTAGTGAGTCAAACTCTCCAATGGTGCGGTTTTGAGGATCCATTGGATATCTTCTTCAAGAGGTTTTATCTCTTCCTCAAGCTAACCTAAAACACAAAGAGATAGAGAAAAGTAACAAAATAATAAAAACAAAAACCAAGAAAAATCAAAAACAAAAAATAAAAACGAAAATTAAAGCTATCCTAGACTAGATTTAATCTGAAACTCAAAGGCAACTGTATTGGTCCCCGGCAACGGCGCCAAAAACATGATGCGGGATCAGGTTTTACCTATTCCTATCCCTGATTCTGCAAGTGCACAGGTCAGATGTAGTAACGGGTTATCGAACACAAGGACCAGATAAGTTTACACTATGAGTTTATGAGATTCGAATCAAGCTAAGACTCAAGTATGGAGGTTTGTTGTTGTCACGGTTTCAAAGCAAAACAAAGTAAATAAGGTGAAAGCAATAGAAGAAAGCATTGGGCATTAGAGGATTCGCAAGGTTTCATAGATTGGATCAAGCAAATAGATAGGGAAATCAATAGTTTAATTGACCTACTCCCGCAGTGCCAATTACTATGTCTAACAACCTAAATCACACAACTTCCGCAGGTAATCAAGAGGTTAAGCATGTAAGAACAGTTCAAATTCGATAGCTCTACTTCCGTAGGTCTAGTTCACAAAGCCTTGCAATTCTACTTCCGTAGGTTACTATGCCTTGCTCATCTAAGTTGATTCAAGAGATTTATCAAGCGGTCAGAATGTAAATCTACCTAAGAGCATTAGCTTAGACGGTCAATCAAGCTACAAGCAATAAACACAAACTTAGATGAAGAACTTTAATGATAAAACCCTAATCTAGCAACCTAACAATCAATCCATGAAAACCCTTTGAAAACTCTTAAACCCAACAAGGAGATTACTCAAACATAGTAACAGAGATCAAGCATAGAGATGAAGAAGAATTCATAATAAAACTTGATAGAAAGTAAAAGGGTTTAGAAATCTCCTCTATAGTGTTACAAAGGTGAGATCTTCTCCCATGAAGCTCTAAAACGAAATCAATGTAAACTCTCTAAAACTAATGCGGCTCTCTCCTTTAAAGAGGCTAAAAAAGAGTATTTATAGTGCCCTAGGTCTTCACAAGTCGGTTTAGGTTAATTGGGCTGAGAATTGTCAAAACTGCATAAGTGGGCTTCTTGTTCGCGGACATCGGGTCGACCGTGCAAGGCATGTGGTCGGCCGTCGGGGTCGGCCGTGATGTGATGATCTCGGTCGATCGTGGTCCATTGCCTCCCGGGTCGGACGGTGCGGTCGTGCGGCCGGATCGGTCCTGGTGAAGGCCGAGCGAAGCCAATTCCCTTCCTGTCCGGCCGAGTGCGTTCGGCCGGCTGTGGACCAGTCTTCAGTACAAACGTGATATCTCCTAAACGGCTTATCCAAATTGCATACTTCCAACGGCATTAGAACACTAACTCATCTGGATAACTTGGTGTTGAGTTTCATTGAAATCCATTGAGTGTAAGGGTCTAAGCCGCTGCTGCTCGTCTGATGTACTGATGCAGTCCGATAACGCTCCTCGGTATATGTCTCAGGGAAATAGAGATATCTCCCAATCTACTCGGTCAAATGATTTTCCAGTTGCATTGCAAAGCTAACTCATGTATGCATCGCCTCGAACTGTATTTGATGAATAGAATGTTTTTAAGGCCCTTCTTAAGCTGATGCTACGTCTTGGAGTGGTCTTGAAGTCCAAATCCTGTGTTTTGCTCCAAAATGCATCTTTTTACCTGTTTAGACTCTAAGTACTATAAATACATAAAAACTACCTTTTTAGATCAGAAAGCCATTAAAAACCATATGAAAAGCATAGTAAAACCATATAAAAAGCATGTAAAATAGAGGTATATCATGAGCCACGGAAAAGACAACCTTCTTTTAGCTTTTCTTTGTTTTAGCTTTTTAATAAAGTTTGTAATTTGCAATTTTTCTTTAAACCTTAGCCTCTCTTTTTTTTCTTGAGCTCTTGCTCTTGAACCTTAGATCTAGGCCTTATCCTTGTATTTCTGTACTTGCCTATTTCAATAAAGTTCTTTAGTTTCATCTCCTTATCTTTTAATGTCTCTTTTTTTGCATTTGGTTGTTTATTTCGTTATGATTAGTCAGTAGTTCCCTTTAGGGTTTAAGATGGGATAGGTTAGAGGTTGTTTATGCTTAATCTCTCTTACTTTATGTTCTTAACCTAAAATCTCTCTATTTTGGACTAAGTTTAAAGCTACACAACCACTATCTCTGGTGTGTATGAGCCTCGACGATTTTCCTCATGGGAATGAGTGGAAATCGCTTGAATAAGTCCACTAAGAGCTTCAACATGCTTGCATATAATTGCCTCACGAAATGGGGTTTATAGGTGTTGAATGGGTGAGTTTGAGCAATGATCCTAATGCCTCTAAGGCTTGATTCTCACTGGCTGACCCCCTGTTTCTGAGATCTTGCCTTGGATGATAGATTTCACCTTGGGAAAGGGTTAGCTAGGCTTGAGAAGCTCAATACCAAGAGATAGCTTGAGTACAAGTTGTTTAAGAGCAAGGTTGATTAAGTATAGCCTCCCTCTATGTGCAAAACCCTGTCTTTAGCCCTAATCTTCGTCCAAGTAGCTTAAAGTTTGCATCTTTATTAGCTTTCCTCTGTTTTTGCACTAACTCGACCCACAACTCGATCGATCCCAGTTACTCTGTTCCTACTCGATCGAGCCCTTGGTCGAGCCGCTTTCAGTTACTGCTTTTGCTTGCATTTCATTTCATAATAGGTTGTTAGAGTTACTTCCATCACCTTTTTACTATTTTCTTGACTTTCTTGTGTTTGCATATTCTCATAGAGTGACACCAAACCCTTATGGATTGATAACCTCTTATGCTACATTTACTATGATGTTAAAGAGGAATTGATTGATTTTGATTGCACCATACCATCTGATGATAGGATATTGCGATAGTGGAATGATATGTAAATGATATGAATGAGGTGGAATGCAAACAGTGTGAATAAAGATGAGATGGTATGGTGCAATCACAATCAATCAATTCCTCTTAACCATCATAGTCAATGTAGTATAAGAGGTTATCAATCCAAATGGGTGAGATGTTGCTCTATGAATTTATGCAAACACAAGAAGTCAAGCAATACAGTAAAGAGGGATGAATCTAACAACCTAATGAAATGAAATGCAATGCAGAAAGTAAAAGAAAGCAGTAAATGAAAGCAAAGCAGCTCGACCAAGACTCGATCGAGTTAGAACAGAGCCTAGAGCTCGATCGAGTTGGGGTCGAGTTGAAGTAAAACAGAGGAAATGCGAATGAAAAGCGGTAAAGATGCAAACTTTAAGCTATGAACTAAGATTAGGGTCTAAGACAGGGTCTTGCGACCAGGGGAAGGCTATACTTAATCAATCTTGCTTTAACCACTTGTATCAAGGTATCTCTTGGTATTGAGCTTCTCAAGCCTAGCTAACCCTTTCCCAAGGTGAAAGCTATCATCTAAGGCAAGATCTCAGAAACAGGGGGTCAGCCAGTGAGAATCAAGCCTTAGAGGCAGTAGGATCATTGCTCAAACTAACCCATCCAACACCTATAAACTCCATTTCGAGAGCAAGCATATTGGAGCTCTTAGTGGACCTTTTCAAGCGATTTCCCATCATTCCATGAGGAAAATCGCCTATGATCAACACACCATGGATAGTGGTTGTGTAGCCTTAAGGTTTGTCCAAAAGAGAGAGATTTTAGATTAAGAACATAAGCAAGAGAGATTAAGCATAAAATCCTCTAGTCTAGCCCATCTTAAACCCTAAAGAGAACTACTCACTACACATTGAAATCATGATCAAATGCAATAAAGAGACATTAAGATAAAAGATGAAATAAACAACTTTTATTGAAATAAGCAAGTGCAAATACAAAAGATAAGGCCTAGATCTAAGGTTCAAGAGCAAGAGCTCAAGAACACAAAGAGAGGCTAAGGTTTTGCAAAAAGTAAAAGTACAAAATTAAAAAGCTAAAACGAAATAAGCTAAAAGAGTTGTCTTTTTTCGTGGCTACAAGCCTTTAAATAAAAGAGATTAGGTTTAGGGTCAAAGGGGAGTCAAAGGGAAGCAACATTTTTCGGGTTTGACCATTGACTCCAGCTCGATCGAGTTGCTTGGCCGGTCGAGTTGAGAACTCGACCGGTTGGTCGAGTAGATGGGTCGAGCTGGCTTCAAGATGGCTTCCTTCTTCATCCTAAGCATGCGCGTTGAGCTGTCCATGCACCAAGTCCTTCCTTGCTCCTCACGTCCCATATTGCTCCAAGTGCTCCAAAAGACCTATTTCAAGGATCAAACATGCATATGTATGCAAATGCAACCTAAAACTACAATGAATGCATAAGAAGGAAAAGGAACAAGATATGATGCTAATGGATGCTAAAACTATGCAAAAGATGCATAAAAGATGTACTAAAACTATGCAAAATGCAAGTACATCAACACCCCCAAACTTGACCTTTGCTTGCCCTCAAGCAAACAAATAGAACAAGAAAGAGATGAGGTTTGAAAACAAGTTGATTCAACACTTAAAAACATGTCCTCAAAAGCGATTTGCTAAATGTCCAACTTAGAGATTCTAGAATGCAACAAGGTGAGAGATATTCATTAAGATTTAACCATGCTTATCAACATCAATCCCACTTCACAGTCACTCAAACAATGCATTCAAATCAGCAAATCCCTTTAACATTCATTAAGCAAAAACAGTGAACCAAAAACATGCAAGATCAATCAACTCATTTGGTTTCAAGGGTTTATGGGTTAAGAGACAAAGAGGGTCTCTTTTGTATGGTGGTTTAGTAACAGGGATCTCTCAAGAAAGTGGCTTTGCTTTGGCAGAAGGCTAAGTGTTAGAACCAAAGATGATGCAAGAACAGCAGCTCGAGCCACCTAATCCTAACTCGATCGAGTTCAACACTTAGAGCTTTTTAGAACAAAATCCTAACTACCCTTTTTGGCATTTCGCCTTTGAAACTGAGGAGCTTTGCTCACTTTTCTTTTAAGAACTTCCTAGGGAGAGGCTTCTTGAGGTAACATCTAGCGGTTTGGGATTTTCTAAACACTTAGGGAACTTTTCTTTTCTTTTTGACACTTGAGGCTTTGCCTTCTTTTCTTTCTACTTAGAACCCTTTTTTACTTTCCTTTTTTAACTTCCCAAACCTTTACTAGACCCTTTTTAAACACTGCCAACTCCCTGGACTTAACTAAACTCTTTTTCCTTTGGATTTTCCCAACTTTTACCACTTTTCTGGTTTTTGACACCCAACTCGATCGAGCTCGAGTTGGCACCCCCAAACTTAGCCTGAAAACAATCCCAAGAGAACTAGACAACTAGAACTACTGCCTGCCGGTTTAAACACAACACCTTATGCTAAGCAAAGCCAAGAAAGGTTCTCACAATTCGCACAAGAGATAATATGGGGTTTGAAATGAAAAAGGCTTAGGTTTAAGGTGTGGTAACTGTCTCAAAGATGGAGATCAGCTATCTGGACAAGCAAGAGGGATATGAAATAGGTAAAGAATGTCCAGATATGTATGTGGTAGCCATGAGTTGAAATCAAATGCAAGCATTGGTAATTAAAGATCAAGTTATGGTTCAAATAGATAGGGAAATGCATCAAATCACAGCAATGGTTGAATGAGATGTGCATGCAGTGATATGATCAAGATAAACATGGTTCTTGTTGCTCAATCAATCTCACCCTAATGCACAAAAGAATCTAAAAGGGCACTCAAGAAATCGCAAATGATGAACAAGTTTTCAAAGATCAAATCAACAATGCACAACAAGTGAATGATGCAATCCTAAACAATCTAACAAATATGAATGCAAAAAGATGAAAATATTTTTGGATTTTTTGAAAATTTTATGATTTTTTTGGTTTTTCTATGTAAATCTAATATATTATTTGCGAAGTGAAAATTTCGTTTAGAGCCACCACATTTAATTTCAGCTGGTTGATTACCCACATACCCTTAATGAAAACTTTGATAATATCTTTCAAATTTTCCTTTTTTTATAAATAGTTTGTTTTCTGTATTTTTTTTAAATAAAATAGAATTTTTCCAATCCAAATTAAACAAATTATTCTTCAATGATATAATGATCTTAAATTGGTTTTAAAAAATAAGCCACATATTTATTCAGTAATATATTTTAAAAAATAAACCCTAACTACAATATGAGACACAATTTTGGAAAAATTATATTCACATAAACCCTAGCTTTCTTAACAACAATCTAATATATAAAGGCACAGCTTCATCACAATATAGTCTTCGTAGTTTTAGTCGTGTTTTCTAATCTTCGCACCAAGATCGTAATATTCTAGAATGATGAGTAAACCTAAATTGGTTCTTGATTTGTGGGTTTTTTTGCAGGTGGTGGATTTAATAAGAAAGGTGATGCCTTTAGGGTTATATCCAGAGGATGATCCGATTAAGATTGAGTTTGATAAGTTTAGGTGTATGAAGGAAGAGATCGATGTGTTAGCTCATCAGCAATTGAGGAAGATTTTGTGGTGTGATCTTGGTTACTCTGTTGTGCAAATCAGACTTTTCATCAGACTAACTTCTGGGAGTTTTCATGGGATATGATGGAGCTGATCACGTTTTTTACGACAGCAGCTGAGATTATCGTTGGTTATGCTTACTTCTTGCTGACTTCAGAGATTCCACTTATCAAGATTTCATGAAAAGGTTGTTTCTTTTGAGGCAGAGGAAGCTTCTCAAGTGTCGCAAGTTTGATGTTGAGAGGTTTAAGGAGCTTGAGAGGAAGTGGAAGATGACTTCGCCTTCTTCTTGGTCTGCTTCTCGCCACTCAGACGCATCGATTCGGAATCATGTTGGTATTGATCTTGATTTGGAGGATTTTTGACATATATTATCACAAATTATTGTTATGGTAGAGACTGAACAATGTGTCTTCACTGGCACGTGATATGTTTTGGACCCCGTTAAACTCTCTTATGAACCTATCAAAGCCTCCATAACTTCCTTTGTAATTTGGTTTATTCTCCATGGAAATTGTAGTTAACATGGCTAAGTATTGTTGCAAGTTCAGAGTACTTTTGGAGAATTCATGATTCGTGAGCTCAAGGCGTTGTCTGGTGCCGTCACAATCACAAGCCTCATGGTAAATCGTTGATTAAATAATAATATCATAAATCTACATTAGATGTCATAAAGAAAACCCTTGCTCTCATAAATCTTATATAAACATATATACAGAGTCGTCTGTAACAAAGACAGTCATTGTCTCTTTCTTCTTCGATTTAGATTTTGAATAGATTGTTCGGTTAATTTTTTGATCTGCAGTATAACAGTGAAACAGATTGTTCAGAGAGCTGTCACGAGAGGAAGTTATTATCTTGATGGGCTTACAAACGATACTATACATGGAAGATCCAAGCTAACTGATCGAGTAAAACTACAAAGTCGGCAAAACATATCTAATATTGTATAATTGTTAGGTGAATCTTTTGACTAAAGCTTCTTGGAAGATGTGAGTCCAAAGAAGAGATCTTGAAGAGACAGAAGAAGGAAGATAGAGGATACAAATCTCCGCTTTGAAGTTTATGGCCATGTAATGGTTACTTGGCAGATATTTCATTAATTGAAAACTCAAGAAAGATGATGATTCTTGAATTATTTCTCAAACTTAAAATAATTGCTGTCTTCTCTTTGTTCATGTTTGGTTTGTCTCACATGGTATTATAACTCATATGCATGTCCTCTGAAGCATCAACAAGCTTTCCCTTGAAATGATTTTTTAGGTAATTTTGTTGTTCGTTCTTTTTCTATGCCTGATCTGTTAACTATTCACATATTTGTTTTTTTGTAAGGCTCATGTGGATGAAACAAGCAAGTTTCTTCAGGGTAGTAGAAACTCTATAAATTGATACTCGATAAATTAATAAACTCTATAAAATAATAATTTTCTCCGGTTCCAAGTCGTGCCAGTGTAAAAATTAGCAAAATTCGATAAAATAATAAGATAATAATATTTTTGAAAGTGCGATGTAAATATATGGTCCCATTAATATCATAAATTAATAATTACCATAAATAAATTTACCTAAATACATATCTATGATAATATACTAAAATATAAGTATAATTTTCACTTTTTTTCTACTAGAACTCAAAAATATTTAGAATTCATCCCTAATTTTAGAATGAACTTATACAAAATATTAAAAATTTAAAAAAATCTTATTTTATTTAATTTAATCTTTATTTTAATTAATTTTTCAATAAAACAACTATTTGATTCAAGATCGATAATTTAATAACTCTATAAATTAATAGAATATTAAAGTCCCAACTTTATTAATTTATAGAGTTTCTACTGTAGTTAGATATCATGGGTTTCAGCGAAGCGTTAATCTGCTACACGACAACAACAGTGTGCTAGGAACAATACTTATTTAAGTTATTCCCAACTTTTTGGGGGCGTGAAAAACTTTACACAATTAGCAGCAACTCTTGTGGCTGACAACACACTACAAGAAAACTGTTTTATAGCCACTGTTATTTCAGTGGTTAAACTCTTACTTCAGTGGCTATATAATATTTCGCCACTATTAGCCACCAAAATAAACAGTCGTGGATCGATGGTAGCTAATTTTACTCGGTAGCCCTTAGTAGCTAAATAGCCACCGTCTTGCTACAAGTTGATTTAGTGGCTATATAGCCACCGAAATTTGAACAATTAATTGGTGGCTCCTCGCGACTGACCTTGTCACTAATTTGCAGTGTCAAAATGGCCACTGATTTAGGACCGATAAAAAGGTAGCCAACATTGTTATAGCTACTATTAGCTAGTATTTACCAGTTGCCAATGGTCACTGATTCATCCACCACTAGACGGTGGCTCATTGTCACTGAATGGGCAACTAATATAACGGTTGCCAATATTGTCTTAGCTACTGACTTACTACCAATTATCGAATGCCAATAGCTACCGATATATCCACAACCAAATGGTGGCTATATGGTCACTGATTTTGTAACTGATTCAATGGTAGCCATATAGTTACAGCTACTGAACTGCTACCATTATTCCCCCAAAAATGGTAGCTAAACTAGCGACTGATGTAGCTAAACATGGTAGCTAAATGTATCAATTGGCTATAATCTGTAATTTCTCATTTGCAAATTCGAAATTAAAAGTTCTAAACAACTATAAATAAAAACCGTAGAAACATTCTTAGTATTAAACTTGTTTGACACAATGGGAAATACAAACTTAAATCATTCAATCTGAAGCAAAACCAAACACACTTAGAGTTTTGCCTTTACATTAAGAGGCTTAAAAGTGCAATATAGAAAGTTACATTGAGTACCTATGGGACAAGTTCAATTCTCCATTGGTCGCTGTGAACCAGGCTAAGATGTTGGTTGCTGGTGAGGCTGTTGTTGGGTGGTTTCTGGTGTTGGTGTTGTACCTGTCCTCAGAGTTTCAATTAGGGTGTTCACATTAGCTTGAAGTGCAGCTACGGTGGTTTTTGAGCTCAGCAATCTCTTCAATCTCTGGACGTGAGTAACAAACAGACGAAGCTTTTTTGACCTCTTGATGATGATGAATAGAGCCCAAAAGGGACCGGTTTCCTTTTCTCACGGGAACATGCTATGTAAATGGAAAAGATGTGTTAACAAAATAATAGATGGGCAAGCATATGAACTATAATTTGAGTATAAAAACATGCAGCTAAAGTAAACCACAACCAAACAAAAATATGGCTGGCCTTAATATCAAACTAAGTGTCGTGTAACCCAATCACAAACAAACAACATTTGTCTAACAAGTATGAACTAGACACGAAAAAACAGAAAACATACTATTTGGCAATAAAAATGTATGAAGTTGTATTTAAAATCAAGAAGCATTGCAAGACAAGAATATCCAATTATGAAATTCACATCAACGATTGACCATTTTCAGAGAACGCCATGGACCTTTGAAGTCGTTTTGCTAGATGGAAGTGACATCATTCCTCACGCAATTATCAAGAACAAACCTGAAAAACAGATGATGAAAAAACGACTAAAACATCTGTTGAGAACGAGCTATTCCGTGAGAAGCAACTACAACAAGAATCAATGAAAGCAACTAAAACACCATGTGAAATGGAATAACTTACCAAACATCTGTTGGTCGATTTGGTCGATCTGGATGTAAGCGAGGCTTGAGACGCCTAGACGGAGACACCATTATCTCTTCCAAACTCATAGGTGGAAGCTTTGGCATGGCAGCCGATGCAGCAGAAGAACCACCAACACTGGAAGCTGGCGTCGATGGACGTCTTCGTTGAACTTGAGCACGAACAGAGACCGATTGTTGAGACATACTTCAGAAAAAAAATTGGATTTTGACTCCAATGTTAACAAAATTGTAAACGAAAATGATACTACAATGAAATAAGAAGGGAAGTGATTTTACCTTCAGCTATGGGTCCTTTGATGGTGAAAACCAGAGACGAAGGGACCAGGAGATGGCGGAGCTGAGAGGAAGCCGGTGATGATTGAGAGATGGAGAAACTGAGATATCCGAGAGATAGGGATAGAGGGAGAGAAATTGGATTCAGTTTCTAACTGAGAAGAACCAGAGAAACAAAAAGGAAGAAGGGATAAGAGAAGAAGAGAATTTCTCTTGGGAATTTTCGTTGTTTTGCAGACAACGAAAGGGGGTTTTGTCTGTAAATGAACAAGAAGACGAAAGTCGAAATTAATTTGAGGGTTTTTTAACCTAGCTACCGATACAGCGACCCAGATTCGGAGGCCCAAAAAATATTGGGTGGGAAATTTCGCGGGTTTATCAATTGGGCTCTAAAATTTGGTGCCAAAATTTTCCTCCAAACTGTATAGCTACTGATAGCTACCACGTCACCGGTGGCGAAAAAAGTATTTAAAAAAGTGAAACGCAGAAATGAGATTTCCTACCGTTTAATAAAACTTAGCCACTGTTATTTCGGTGGACACATCTACTCCCTAGATCCCGAAACATCTTTCCTCTTCATTCATATTGTTTAACTCATTGTTTGGGGAAGTAGTAAATAATCCTTAGGGCTTTATAAATAAAACTAATAATTTTTGCTAATTTTTTTTTTCAAACTTATAATTTCAATAATAAGATAAACATTTATAAACTAAAATCATAATAATTTCTTATTTAATCTAGAAGAAATGAAAGACAAATTACATGATCACATAAATAAGTACATAATCTTTCTATTCTATATTAGATGATTCGTAGTCTTCGCCTACATTATCATTTTCATCTATGCTTGAACCATATTCTTCGTTTTCCTCCTCACTTTCTTCTAACACCGGTTCACCTTCATCAATTTCGAGATCATCTTCTGTTTCTTTTTCAACGGCATGTTCTCTTACTTGAACAATGCCACTAACCACCACATCATGATCTTTCTCGTCATCTTCTTGCAAAGCTTCTTCATCAACCACTACAACAAATATGTACATTGGTAGCATATCACAGTAGCAGTAATTTCGTAACTGCTATAATAAGCCTGTACCCGGATTCTTAAACCTTTCGATAGCACTTTCCATATGCTATATAAAAAAAATGTCATAAGCGGGAATAAAAACGTAAAAAGACCGCCAAGTTAATGAAAGATCACTTAGTACCGCCAACACTTAGAAAAAAAATTCATTTTTCTGTTCATTTTCACACTGTACACTTAAAGAAAACAAAATTATCGTGAAAAAAAACCCCCAAATCGATTTACTCTTGATATCGACCTCTCGATATCTCCGTCGCCATACTGTTCTTCTCCGGTCTGATTCCAGTCAATCTGTTCCGTCACTGTACCTCTCGATTTCTGGCTCTCTCCCTCTCTCTCTCTCTCTCTATCTCTCTCTCTCTCTCTCTCTCTCTCTCTCTCTCGTTTGCGTGTTTGATTTCCAAATTTCACCTTCTCCGTCTCCACCGTGTCTCCTTCTCGAATTTCAATTTCGACCAAGGTTTGTAAGTTATATGAGTCTAATGTTCTTCAGTTTCACTCTCACTCGTGTCTGTATAGTTTAATTTCAAATCGCAAATTTCACTCATCAACTTAGGGTTCTTCTGTAAGAGAAAATGGGTAGATTGTGTGACTCTAATAGTTAGTGACGATGGTGTATATGTGCTCGCAGGTACAGCTGTCTGCAATTGCTGTGAAGTGACGAATTTTGGAAGAAAGAACACAAATTCAACTCTCAGTTTCTGAAGGTTAGATTGAACTCACGCTTTCTTGTCCTATTTATTAACTTATTTTGATTTTCATTGCTGATGTGTTTGATTTGTCTGTAGATTAGAGAATTTCTATACCGTTTCTGTTTGATTTTCTTCTTTCTTCTGTTTGAATCATTCATTATGTTTTCTGCATGTCGGGACAAGGGTTGTCAAACAGGTTTACATACAATGCTGGATAAAGAATGGGTGCATCTATGCAGGTTTGTTATCTAACTACTCTTTGGATTTAGTATACTGGTTAATGAGGCAGAACGTAATATTTTTTATTTGTCTTTCTATTTGTTTGGCATGAACGACAGAATTGATCCTGCTTATGAATCTGGGGCTCGAAAATTTGTGAATGCTGTTAGTGCCACCGTAGGTGTTTCTGATATGGTCATATGCCCCTGCACTCATTGTCGGAATAACGATCGGCATGCGTCTAGTGAAGTACTGTACCAATTAGTTACTAGGGGAATGGATGAGGCTTACAAGATGCGGAAAGATTGGTATCATCATGAAGGTCCGTGTCCTGAGCTAGGTAACAATGGAAACCAGTGGAATGATGAGATATTGAGATTATATAAAGCAGCTGAGTTTTTAGGAGAGGATATGACTTCTAAGGATATCGACTTAGGCGAGTTGGCTGAGGGTGAAGACAAAAGAGAAGATGAATTTCTTGCAAAGCTAGCTGACGCTGAAATGCCTTTATACCCAAGCTGCACCAATCATAGCAAGCTGTCTGCTATTGTTTCTCTGTTCAGGATTAAGACACAAAATGGGTGGTCCGACAAGAGCTTCAACGACCTACTTGAAGCATTACCGAACATGTTACCAGAGGATAATGTCCTTCATACATCAACTTATGATGTCAAGAAATTCCTGAGATCTTTTGATATGGGTTATCAGAAGATACATGCTTGTGTGAACGACTGTTGTCTATTCCGTAAGAAGTACAAGAAACTTGATTCATGTCCGAAGTGTAAGGCGTCGAGATGGATGACTAACAAGCATACTGGTGTAGTGAAGAAGGGTGTCCCACATAAGGTGTTAGGGTACTTCCCTATTATCCGCGCCTCAAGAGAATGTTTAGGTCTGAGACGATAGCCAGCGACTTGAGGTGGCATTTCAGCAACAAGAGCAACGATGGAAAGTTGCGACACCCAGTAGATTCTGTGACATGGCATCAGATGGATGATAAGTACCCTGCGTTCGCTGCTGAACCAAGGAACATGCGTTTAGGACTTTCTACGGATGGATTTAATCCTTTCAGCATGAAGAATACCAGATACAGTAGCTGGCCAGTGTTGTTGGTGAATTACAATATGGCTCCTGATCTCTGTATGAAGAAAGAAAATATAATGCTTACCTTGCTGATTCCTGGTCCTCATCAGCCTAGCAATAGTATAGACGTCTATTTAGAACCCCTAATAGAGGATCTTCACCATTTTTGGAGCAAAGGAGAGCTAACCTATGACGCTTTCAGTAAAACGACGTTCACATTGAAGGCAATGCTGTTGTGGACCATCAGCGACTTCCCAGCTTATGGAAACCTTGCTGGCTGCAAAGTTAAGGGCAAAATGGGTTGTCCATTATGCGGAAAGAACACTGACAGCTTGTGGTTGACTAATAGCAGAAAACACATATACATGTTTCATAGGAAAAGCCTACCTCCTACACATGCTTATAGGGTAAAGAAGACATGGTTTGATGGTAAAGTTGAGAATGGGATCAAGGGAAGGATTCTGACTGGGAAAAATATTTCACTATTACTCAGAAATTACAAGAATGACTTCGGGAATAAAAAGGAAGATGGTAGGAAGAGATCCAGAGCTGCGTTTGTGGGAACAACATCTGACTATGACAACGAAGACAGTGCATCAGATGAGGAAGAAGAAGAAGAACAAGAAATAGACGAGGAAGAGTTATCAAGATGGAAAAAAAGATCTATCTTCTTTAGACTACCGTATTGGGAGGTAAATATCGAATCTCAAGTCACATACTATTAAATTATGAGTTCATATAAATTACTATATTAATTTAACATGTGTTTTCTTTTGTTTCTATCTACTAGGAACTTCCTGTAAGACACAACTTAGACGTGATGCACGTTGAGAAAAACGTAGCTGCAAGCATTGTTGCCACATTGTTGCATTGTGGCAAATCCAAGGACCGTTTGAAGGCTCGTAAAGATCTTCAAGTTCTCGGTATTAGGAAGGATTTACACCCAAACGTACAAGGTAAACGAACATTACTTCCCGCAACACCTTGGTCTTTGTCTAAGTCTGAGAAGAAGATATTTTGCAAACGGCTTTTTGATTTCAAAGGCCCTGATGGCTACTGCTCAAATATATCTAGCTGCGTTTGTTTAGAAGAGTATAAGGTTATGGGTTTCAAGTCACATGACTATCACGTGTTGATGCAACAATTGCTCCGGTTGCTATTAGAGGGTTACTACCTAAGTGTCCTAGGATAGCCATAGGACCCTTATGCTCCTTTTTCAACCAACTGTGCCAGCGAGTTATTGACAAGGAGCAGATTTTAGTAATGGAAAATGAAATCGTAGAGACACTGTGTATGTTTGAAAGGTTCTTTCCTCCGAGTTTCTTCGATATCATGGTCCATTTGTGTGTTCATTTAGGGAGAGAGGCCAGACTTGGTGGACCGGTCCATTTCAGATGGATGTATCCATTTGAGAGGTACGGTTAACAACGCATTCATCTTTAGCCACTCGTAGATGTTCTTTAACAACGACTGTTATCCAATCTAATACCGTGTTCCTTCCAGGTACATGAAAGTTTTGAAAGACTTTGTAAGAAATCCAGCAAGACCAGAAGGTTGCATAGCTGAGTCATACCCTGCAGAAGAATGCATGGATTTTTGCAGTGCTTTTTTGAAGAAGACAACAAGTGTAGAAGACAAGATTGACAGAAACACCGAGTTTGAAAGCAACTCTATTCTCGAGGGTCGACCCTCAGTGAAGCGGAGAAGCAAATAGCCCATCTTGCTGTGATTCAGAATATGGCACTAGTGGATACGTATGTTGAGTAAATCCTCTTACTTTGTCTTTGTTTGTGCAGTAATTATATGTTGATATTACTCTGAAATCTTTTTCTTTCAATTACAAGCAAGCACCTGCCACATTTGCAAGACACTAACATCAGATGTAGGCGCTGCAAGGCTCCAGCTATGCCTAGCTTCTCTGCCATGGAGAGAGAGATCAGATTGATGCTTGCTCCAGAATCCACTAAGGCATTGTCAATCTCAAGATGCCCAAGTGTGCAAGGGAGAGTGAATTTCCCTTGATCCTTGACCTTTGGTAGGAAGGTGGGTGAAGTAAGCAGGTTGAACTGATGAGTAGACTCTTGTAGGACCTCTGAAACTTTATCACTGTTGGCATAACATCCTTGACCATTTGCATTTGATCAAATGCCTCACTCATGCTATCCATAGAGGCAACTCAATTCCAATCCCACTGAGATCTCTTCTGAACTTGTGAATCACTTCCTTGTGACCTTGACTAAGTAGGCGAGACGAGGAAGCGGCAACCGGTTGGTAAGGATCAAGCAAAACAGGCTGTCGGACAGAAGAGGTCGGACTCGATCGAGCTAGAGTTGGACTCGATCGAGCTGCCGATCGAGCTTGTCGTGCGAGCTCAACTGGTGAAGTGTGAATGGCCACAGTAGGTGCATGCACTTCTGGTTGATCAATCTGGACTCCAGGAGCCTCAGCAGCAACAATCTCTTCATCATTCAGCAGTAAACAAAAATCTTCAATGACCCTTTCTTGATCCTCTTCTTCAACAAGTCCTTCTTGAGTGAAGATGACCTTGCACTGTTCCTTGGGGTTCTGAATAGCTTTACCAGGTAGTTGTCCTTGCTTTGTAGCAGCAGCAACAGAAGAAGCATGATTCTCCAGAGAGTAAACCCTTGTGTTGAGGTTCTCGATCTTAGAGTTTATTTCAGCTAGCTTCTTGCTTGTGTCCACTACCCCATCAGCTTGCCCTTGAAGTAGTTGCTTTAGCATTGCCTTGAGCTCATTCTCTTGTGAAGGTGCAGGCTGGGGCGGTTGGTGGGGGAAGCCTGGTGGGATATTCATTTGTTGTCCAGGGAAAGTGCCTTGTGGTCCTTGGTAATTGTTCTTTTGACCATACCCATGTTGTGGCACCTGACTCGATCGAGCTGCTTGTTGTTGAGGATATACTTGGTCCTGAGGGTTAGCAACATCAGTGTTGCGGTATGACATGGCAGGGTTGGACTTGTAGTTATAGTATCCTTTGTTGTAACCTCCTTGCCCATTGCTCATGTAGCACACCTCAGCAAATTGTGTATCCTCCCCTTCTTGGACTGGTTCCATCTCCTCAGCAGACACAAAGTTGACTTTCTTCATTGTGGACTGAGCTAGGATCAGCTTATCCAACTTCTCATTCAATGCCTTAACATCTTTTCTCAACTTTTCGTCTGACTCGATCGAGTGGTGGGTCGAGCTCCGGTTGGTGCGATCATACTCTTCTCCATAGCTTCCATTTGAGTTAGCTATGTTCTCCACAAGTTGCCAGCCATCATCTACATCCTGGTTGAGGAAGTTCCCATTGCTAGCTGTGTCTAGCATCTCCCTATACCTAGGCAAGCATCCTCTATAAAGAGTGGAGAGTAGGATTCATTGTTGAATCCATGGTGTGGGCACTGACTTGTGTAGCCTTTGAACCTCTCCCAAGCCTCTGCGAATGTCTCATTGTTTCGCTGGATGAAGCTGGATATCTCTCCTCTAAGCTTGGCTGTGCGACCGGTGGAGAAAAACTTAGCAAGAAAGGCCTTCTTGCATTCATCCCAAGTGGTGATTGTGCCATGGGGCAAGCTCTTCTCCCATTGGTGAGCTTTGTCAGCTAGAGACATAGGAAAGAGTCTCAGCTTGATGGCATCTTCAGAGACACCATTGATCTTTGTCAAATCACAAAGCCTATCAAACTCATCAAGGTGGTCAATGGGGTCTTCACTTGGCAATCCATGGAACATCTTGTTCTGGACAAGGTTGATCATTCCCAGCTTGATCTCAAAGTTGTGGTTCTGCACTGGTGGTGGAACAATCCCTTGTCTCTGTTGGTGGCGGTTTGGAGCATCTCCTTGACCAATCGGTCGAGTTTGCCTAGCTCGACCGAGTCCATTGCCCAAAGGGTTTCCATTCCCCTCTGGTACATCCATTGTATCAGCAACAAGCACCTCAGGTTCCTCTTGTACCCTCTGTGACCTCTGAACCCTCTTTCTACCCGTTGTAAGTCTAGCTCGACCAAGTCTTCAGTTGACCGACTCGATCGAGTTCGCATACACCTGCAAAAAGAGACAAAAACCCAGCAGTACAATAGAACAGGGGTGGTATAGCTTGATCGTCCAAGTGTGTTTGAAACTCAAATGCAACAAAAATATTCCCAAATCGGCAACGGCGCCAAATTGATGATAGGATTTGTGTGTGTGTGAATGAAATGAGGTGGAATGCAAACAGGGGTGAATAAAGATGAATGGTAGTGCAATCACAATCAATCAATTCCTCTTAACCATCATAGTCATTGAAGTATAAGAGGTTATCAATCCAAAATGGGAAACTTGTCACTCTTTATGAGAATATGAAACAACCGAAAGTCAAGCAAGCAGTTATAGATTTGAAGTAACACTAACAACCTAAAAAAATGAAAAGCAGTGCAATAAAAGTAAAAAAGCAGTGAAGTGTCAGCTCGACCAAGACTCGAGTCGAGTAGACAAAGTACCAGCTCGATCGAGTTTAGGGACGAGTTGAGACAAACAAAGCTAAAGGTGACGACTTTAACAAGATAAAGAGAGAATTAGGGTTCAAGACAGGGTTTTGCAATCAAAGGAATCTACACTTAATCAATCTAGCTCTTAAAACTCCTTGTATCAAGGCTTCTCTTGATATTGGGCTTCTCAATGCCTAGCCAACCCTTTCCCAAGGTGGAGGCTATCAACCAAGGAATGATCTCAGAAACAGGGGGTTAGCCAGTGAGAATCAAACCTTGGAGGCTATAGGATCATTGCCCAAACTAATCCATCCAACCCCTTAGACCTCTATTGTCTAGAGCAAGAGATATTGGAGCTCTTAGTGGATCTTTTCCAGCGAATGCCATCACTTTCGTGTGGGGAGTCGCCTAAGGACTTACAAGCCAGGGGTAGTGGTCATGTAGCCTTAAGATCTATCCAAAAGAGAGAGAATCTAGATTAAGACCATAAGCTAGAAGGATTAAGCATATGAAACCTCTAATCTATCCCATCTCAAACCCTAATGGGTAACTACTCACTACACATGAATGTAAACACAAGCAAATGCAATAAAAGAGACATCATAAGAAAGAGGAGATGAAATTAAACAACTTTTATTGAAATAAGCAAGTGCAAATACAAAGAGAGATTATCCAGGATCTAAGGATTCAAGAAGCAAGAGCTTCAAGAACACAAAGATGGGATTAGATCTCTAAAAAGTAAAAGACAATAAATTAAAAGAAACTAAAACAAAATAATCTAAAGCTTGGTGGTTTTTTCGTGGCTTAGAGCCTTTAAATACAAAGAGGATTAGGTTTAGGGTCAAAGGAAAGTCAAGGGGGAAGCAACATTTTTCGGGTTTGACTTTGACTTCCAGCTCGATCGAGTTGAAGCTTGGCCGGTCGAGTTGAGGAACTCGACCGGTTGGTCGAGTGGACGGTCGAGCTGGTCTTCAAGATGGCTTCTCCCTTCTTCCTTTGCGTATCCAGTTGAGCTGCTTCCATGTGCCAAGTCCCTCCATGCTCCTTGTGTCCCATATGCTCCAGAATGCTCCAAAAGACCTATTTCAAAGGACCAAACATGCATATGTATGCAAATGCAACCTAAAACTAACATGAATGCATAAGAAGAGAAAAGGAACAAGATATGATGCAAATGGAAGCTAAAACTATGCAAAAGATGCATAAAAGATGTGCTAAAACTATGTAAAATGCAAGTACATCACTACACCTTACCATCCTCAAACCAGTGGGCAAGTTGAGGTCTTCAATAGGCAGATAAAGGCCATTCTTGAGAAGACAGTGAGTTTTACTAGGAAGGATTGGTCAACAAGACTTGATGAAGCTCTTTGGGCCTATAGAACAGCTTATAAGACCCCCATTGGAAGGTCCCCTTTCAACTTGCTGTATGGAAAGGACTGTCACTTACCTGTAGAGGTAGAGTACAAGGACTATGGGCAGTGAAGATGCTGAACTTTGATATAAAGGCTGCACAGAGAGAAGGTAATGAACTTGTTTGAGTTGGAGGAAATCAGAATGAATGCCTATGAGAACTCCCTGATCTATAAGATGAGAACAAAGGCAGCCCATGACAAACTGATCCGCCTTAAGGACTTCAAGGCTGGGGACAGTGTGCTTTTGTATAACTCCAAGCTAAGGTTGTTTCCCGGGAAGCTAAGGTCGAAGTGGGCAGGACCATTCAAGATCCACGAAGTTTTGCCCTATGGATCCCTCACTCTGCTCAATCAAGAGGGGAAGGAGTTCACAGTGAATGGGCACAGATGCAAGCCATATCTAGGAATGACCCCCACAGAGGAGATCATCACTCCTCTACAAGATCCAACCCCGGCCTAAAAGGGGTAAGGTCAAGCTATGAGACCTAAAACAAGCTCACTTGGGAGGAATTCCCATGTCTATCTTATATATTTATGCTTTACCTTTTATTTCTATGATTTTCTTGGCTAAGTCTTAGGAGCAGGTTTTAGGAAGAAGAGTGGCTAACTCGAGGCACAACTCGATCGAGCAAGAAGCAAGCTCGATCGAGCGGACAACCCAGTCGAGTGGAGTGCTCCTGATGGCCGTCTACCATCTCCAGACCACGACCTTGCCTCCCAGTTCTTTGGGGGGCACTGAGGTATCCAAACACCAACCCTTGTATATACCATTTCATATTTTCTTTGTTTTTTTTTCTTGGTTTTGCCCTCTTGAATCTTTCACTAAATTTCTCTCACACAAGGGACTGTGTGATTTAAGTTTGGGGGAGGGTTCAAGAGATGATTTAACCTTGTTTTCTTTGTTCTTAGTTTTTCATTCATCTTTTGCATAGAAAAACCAAAAAAATCATAAAATTTTCAAAAAATCCAAAAATATTTTCATCTTTTTGCATTCATATTTCTTAGATTGTTTAGGATTGCATTTCACTTGCATTGTTGATTTGACTTTGAAAACTTGTCCATCTTTTGCGATTTCTTGAGTGCCCTGTTTTTAGATTCTCTTGTGCATTAGGGTGAGATTGATTGAGCAGCAAGAACCATGTTTATCTTGATCATATCACTGCATGCACATCTCATTCAACCATTGCTGTGATTTGATGCATTTCCCTATTTATTGAACCATAACTTGATCTTTAATTACCAATGCTTGCATTTGATTTCAACTCATGGCTACCACATACATATCTGGACATTCTTTACCATTTCATATCCCTTTGCTTGTCCAGATAGCTGATCTCCATCCTTTGAGACAGTTACCACACCTTAAACCTAAGCCTTTTCATTTCAAACCCCATATTATCTCTTGTGCGAATGTGAGAACCTTTCTTGGCTTTGCTTAGCATAAGGTGTTGTGTTTAAACCGGCAGGGGCAGTAGTTCTAGTTGTCTAGTTCTCTTGGGATTGTTTTCAGGCTAAGTTTGGGGGTGCCAACTCGAGCTCGATCGAGTTGGGTGTCAAAAACCAGAAATGTAACATCCATAAACCAAAAATTGGGAATTTCGTCGGTTCAATTTAAGTGATTTGGTTTGGGCCGGTTTAGTGGAGAAAGCCCTAAAACTCAAGTTTAAAGAGTGCAGCCGTCTTCCAAGCACACTTAACTCTGGAGTTACTTATAGACCTTTGACCGAAAAGGTAAGTGCACTTTGTTGACATAGGTAGCCAAATCAATTCTCTTAAGCCTCTCCTCATTTATCACAAACCGGGATGTTACAACTCACCCCCACTAACTGCGCAACGTCCTCGTTGCGCACCTGGATCGTCACCCCCTGACGGTGTGAGTCAAGGCCACTTCAACTTGACTCCACACTCTCGTCTGGGTTTGGCTCTGATACCAAATTATAACGCCCCGACCATCCCTCCCGGTGAGTCACCCACGCCCTCTCTCTGGGCCCGCAGGCCCATCTTGGCCCGTGGCCTCACCCATGTCCGACGGCCGGTCCGTTATTTTTGAGAGGCTCTAATGACTTGTTTACTATCCCTGCAATCAACACCTGACCTTTCCCCGTGTTTTGGCCTCACTCACACGGTTTCGGAAACCACTTCCCGGAAGGTCACCCATCCTTCAACTACTCCAGCCCAAGCACGCTTAACTCTGGAGTTACTTATAGACCTCTAACCGAAAAGGTAAGTGCACTTTGTTGACATAGGTAGCCAAATCAATTCTCTTAAGGGGCGTTATAATTTGGTATCAGAGCCAAACCCAGACGAGAGTGTGGAGTCAAGTTGAAGTGGCCTTGACTCACACCGTCAGGGGGTGACGATCCAGGTGCGCAACGAGGACGTTGCGTGCAGTTAGTGGGGGTGAGTTGTAACATCCCGGTTTGTGATAAATGAGGAGAGGCTTAAGAGAATTGATTTGGCTACCTATGTCAACAAAGTGCACTTACCTTTTCGGTCAAAGGTCTATAAGTAACTCCAGAGTTAAGCGTGCTTGGGCTGGAGTAGTTGAAGGATGGGTGACCTTCCGGGAAGTGGTTTCCGAAACCGTGTGAGTGAGGCCAAAACACGGGGAAAGGTCGGGTGTTGATTGCAGGGATAGTAAACAAGTCATTAGAGCCTCTCAAAAATAACGGACCGGCCGTCGGACATGGGTGAGGCTCACGGGCCAAGATGGGCCTGCGGGCCCAGAGAGAGGACGTGGGTGACTCACCGGGAGGGACGGTCGGGGCGTTATAAGAAAAGTGGTAAAAATTGGGAAAAACCAAAAGTAAAAAGAGTTTAGTTAAGTCCAGGGAGTTGGCAGTGCTAAAAAGGGTCTAGTAAAGGTTTGGGAAGTTAAAAAAGGAAGTAAAAAGGGTTCTAAGGTGATGATTGGTTCTCCCGCTACCACCCGCAAACGCAGCGTTTGCGGTTCGTAGCGGTTCTTAGCGTTTTATAACAATCACGACAACCGCTTTCAACCGCTCTATACCACTCTGTACCGCTCTATATCGCTGAAAATCAAAAGCTCCTTTCCGCAAGCGTTTGCGGTTGCGGGCGGTTGCGGTTTGAAAAAAAAAAAAAAAAAACATAATATCTCCAAATTTGGAATAAGGGTATATTTTTTTGAAAAATACCATAATTATGTTTAAAAATTTCGAAAATACCCTAAATTTTTTCTGTTTTGAAAAATACACTTTTAAAATGTAAAAAGTATGTTTTGACGTGATTTAAACAAAAAAATAATAAATAATTACAAATTATAAACGAAAATTTAAAAAAATAATAAACTAATAAGTTTTTTTTCAAATAAATATAGTATATGTTAAACTGAAACAAATTTTAATATTTTGGATCTTTATATAAACAACTTAACCTCATACACATTCAAACCAAATGAAACTTTAAATAAATTAAAACTTTACATATATTTAAAGTTTATAAATTATTAAAAATTTAAAAGTGGAGAAATATATCTTTCATTTTTAATGTTTATCTTTTGAAAAATTTAAATATTTTTGAAACTTTGCATAAACAACTTTAATCTCACCCCATTTAAACTTTATATAAACAATCTTATATTTTTATTAAATTGTTTAAAAAAAAACTAAACAGGTAATTAGGATGTTAAAATGATACAAAATTATTATCAAATATTAATATTTTATATTTCTTATTTGAATTTCGTTTTTATTAAATTAGGAATAATCATTTTACATATAAAAAGTGTATTTTTCAAAACCAAAAAAAAAGGGTAGTTTTCAAATTAAAAATTCATCAAAAAATATATTTCAAAAAAAAAATTATTAATATGGTTATAAATGTTTTGAATAATTATATATTATTTTTATTTTAGTAACTTTTGGTTAAACCGCTCTTGCACCCGCTGGCTAACCAGTCAAAAATATCCCGCAAACGCAACCGCTATGAATTGCTATACCAGTCGTACAAACAGCTTTTAATCGCAAACTCCCGCAGCCGCAAACTCCCGCAACCGCAACCGCAGCGGTTAAACCAGTCAGACCCTAAGTAGAATGAAAAGAAGGCAAAGCCTCAAGTGTCAAAAAGAAAAGAAAGTTCCCTAAGTGTTTAGAAAATCCCAAACCGCTAGATGTTACCTCAAGAAGCCTCTCCCTAGGAAGTTCTTAAAAGAAAAGTGAGCAAAGCTCCTCAGTTTCAAAGGCGAAATGCCAAAAAGGGTAGTTAGGATTTTGTTCTAAAAAGCTCTAAGTGTTGAACTCGATCGAGTTAGGATTAGACGGCTCGAGCTGCTGTTCTTGCATCATCTTTGGTTCTAACACTTAGCCTTCTGCCAAAGCAAAGCCACTTTCTTGAGAGATCCCTGTTACTAAACCACCATACAAAAGAGACCCTCTTTGTCTCTTAACCCATAAACCCTTGAAACCAAATGAGTTGATTGATCTTGCATGTTTTTGGTTCACTGTTTTTGCTTAATGAATGTTAAAGGGATTTGCTGATTTGAATGCATTGTTTGAGTGACTGTGAAGTGGGATTGATGTTGATAAGCATGGTTAAATCTTAATGAATATCTCTCACCTTGTTGCATTCTAGAATCTCTAAGTTGGACATTTAGCAAATCGCTTTTGAGGACATGTTTTTAAGTGTTGAATCAGCTTGTTTTCAAACCTCATCTCTTTCTTGTTCTATTTGTTTGCTTGAGGGCAAGCAAAGGTCAAGTTTGGGGGTGTTGATGTACTTGCATTTTGCATAGTTTTAGTACATCTTTTATGCATCTTTTGCATAGTTTTAGCATCCATTAGCATCATATCTTGTTCCTTTTCTCTTCTTATGCATTCATAGTAGTTTTAGGTTGCATTTGCATACATATGCATGTTTGGTCCTTGAAATAGGTCTTTTGGAGCATTCTGGAGCACATGGGACGTAAGGAGCATGGAGGGACTTGGCACATGGACGCAGCTAAACTGGATACGCAAAGGAAGAAGGGAGAAACCATCTTAAAGACCAGCTCGACCATCTACTCGACCAACCGGTCGAGTTCAGGAAGAAGGGAGAAGCCATCGAAGCTCGACCATCTACTCGACCAACCGACCCAGACCAGCTCGACCATCTACTCGACCAACCGGTCGAGTTCCTCAACTCGACCGGCCAAGCTTCAACTCGATCGAGCTGAGAAGTCAACAGTCAAACCCGAAAAATGTTGCTTCCCCCTTGACTTTCCTTTGACCCTAAACCTAAAACCTCTTGTATTTAAGTGCTCTAAGCCACGAAAAAACCTCTTGGCAATTGACTAGCTACAGAGACAATCAGTAGCGATATAGCCATTGATTGGCAACCGAATGGCCACTATTTGCGCATTTGCATTTTGGTGGCAAATGGGTGGCTAAACGGTGGCCTTTTTCTCGCCACTGACTATTTTCGGTCACGAGCTGGTGGCTATAAAACTGTTTTCTTGTAGTGAGCTACTACCCTTGGTATTGGAACTTTTCGATTTACATCTCAATCCTTCGTATAAATACAGAGTTGTTGTGATGAAGAGCAAAAAAATTATATGTAAGGGTTTAGATGTTTGTATTCTCATTACATAAGATGTGAATTTAGACAAAACACATAAAAAGATAGTAAGTATAAGAGAATCATAGTAGCTCTGAAATATCAATATGAGTTTCTTTTCCTTTTATTCAACAAATATAACGTCAACTTGGTGTTGTTACTTGTGCCTTAAGGGAACAAAGTCTTATGGTCGTGGGTGAAGTGTGGTTGATCGATACCATGGAAAAGCAAGAACCTCATCTACTTGAAGCGTATGATGTGCTCAGTGATCTCTTAGTGGAAGGGAAATGATTTCTGAGGATAAGAAAGATCTAAATGAGAAGGCACTTAACTTCAGATTCTGCAGCCAAATCCGAACAAGAAACAAAAGAGCTTCTGATTCAAAGTAGTTCGCAACAGAAGAATCTAAAAACGGATAACATAAAGCTCCCAAAAACGGATAACCGAAAGAATCTCTCTACTAAGAAATTGTTTTTTTTTGCTGTATCATTTCGGAGTTATAGATTCTAACAGATTCTAACAGTGACAAAAAGAAAGCGACATCTCTGAAATCTGAATATACATGATCAGTATTGGAAACTCATAATATGACATATAACTTTTTGAATTATTAATGTTTCCCAAGCTTAAGAAGAAAGCGTTTAAAAACCGGGGCTTGTGGCCCGGTGGTAAAGGACCCTCAGCTGAGGTAGCCGCCACCTGGGTTCGAGTCCCGGCCACAACGGATTTAACATCCATTCCGTTGGGGCGCTGGACCCTACTTGTGGGGATAGTCGGGAATGTGACTGCCCAGATACCAGACTTATCAAAAAAAAGAAAGCGTTTAAACGGATTCATGTTATCACGCACATGAAAGAATACCATTATCACACATATGTTTTGAGCTCTTACATTCAAAATCTGTTGCATCATATATTTGCTCACCTCTTTTTCTTTTGGGTTATTATAGTGATATACAATCATATTCATACAAATTTTCTTTTTTGTCTTTTGTCTTTTGAATATGTATTCATTTAATAATAGTTTGTATTCCTAGGAAAAAAAAAAGATAAAGAAGAAGACAATCCTGGTAAATAAGATGTTACAAAATTCTAAAACCAAAGAAGAAGCTAAAGACGCGAAAACCATAATAAAAAAAAAAGAAAAAAAAAGAAAAGAAGAAGATTGATAACAGAAAATTAAATAATGAAGAAGAACAAGATGAAATAAGAAGAAAAATTTAAATAAATAGAAGGAGAAGACGAAGGTTGTTAAGAAGGATGGGGCAGAGGAAGAGACATGAGCATAATATTAAATAGGGGAGATATGAGGAGATGAAGAAGAGAAATATGAGAAGATGAGAACAAATAAATAAATAAAATAAAAAGAAGACGAAACTGATAAATAAAATGTTAAAAAAGAGAAAATGATTGATAATTTAAGAATATAATATGAAATAAGAACAAAAAACTGAATAATAATAAGGAAAAGACGAAAGTTGGAAGACGAAGACCGAAAAAATAAAAGAAACCAAACAAAAGAAGAAAAGAATTGAAGAATATGTGAACAGCAAAGAAATTGAAAAAATCAAAAGATAAAAAATAAAGAATAAGAACACAAAGCCAATTGGAAAAACAAACTGTATATAAGAGGAAGAAAACAAATAAAAACAAGGAAATAAAAAGATGACGATGAAGAGAGAGGAAAATAAAAAGAGAATAGAAAGTTCGAAAAGAATCAGAAAAAAAGAAGAAAATGAAAGAAAAAATTATGAAAGAAGTAAAAGAAGAAGATAATATGGGGTTGAGGTTTACGATGTACAGTTTAAATTGATTGGCACAATGTTTAGTTTTTGATGCACTTTAAAAATTCTGAATACACTACATTAGGCCTGGGGGTTCGGTTATTCAGGTCGGGTTTCGGATCTTTTGGTTCTAGAAAAATTAGAACCATACGGGTATTCTTGAATTTCGAGTCGGGTCCGGTTCGGTTCCACCCGGGTTCGGATCGATTCCGGATATCCAAACGTTACAAAAAAAAAAAAAAAAAAAAAAAAACTGTCCAATTTATACAAAACTTTGTTAAATTTAGGAAAAAATATTGAATATTATCAAATATAACTAAAGATTTTAGGATTTCTTGAATATTTTGATTATTGTTTTCTAAATATACCTATTATATTAGGTTTATAATTATAATTTTACATATTTTGGCTATTTTAAGTCTAAATATAATTAATATTTTTGGATATATAGCTATATTTTGAATATTTTGGGTACCCACAGGTTTTCGGTTCGGTTCCGGTTCTTTGGGGTATATAAATTTTGGACCCATTCGCGTATTTGTGTCAATTCCGGTTCGGTTCGGTTCCACGTAAAAGTGCCCAGGCCTACATTACATTACCGAATGCCCATGCCTACACTACATTACCGATTAAAAACAAAAACAAATTTCTTTTTAAGGAATAAAAAATAAAAATAAAAGAAAATATAGAACCAAATTGTAGAATGTGGGGTTCGGGTGTGTGGTTTGGGGGGAGGGGGTGTTTCACTGTGGAGTTTGGGTTTAGGGTGTAGGGTTGTTTAGGGGGTGGTGTTACACTGTGGGACTTGGGTTTAGGATGTAGGGTTTATATTGATGGGTGTAGGGTTTAGTTTTGGTGCATTTTCAAAAATTGGAATGGAAGAATATCATAATTAAATTACATTGATTATAAATTTATATCCACCTTTCTAAATTACATTCACAAATAGAAAACTAAAATAATTAAAGGAAATCCATAATGGAAAGATAAAACCAATATATTTTTAAAAGATCTCGACTATATAAAGATAAAAACTATTTCACAAATCGTTGAAAATATAAACTATCGAATGAATTGATAAGTGAAATACAAGACGTAGATAAGAACGAATAAAAACATAAGTAAAAGAAAAGAAGAGAGTAAAAAAGAAGATGAAAAATTTGGAGACAAAGAAGAAAACTCGAATATGAGGAAAAAAAAATCAAAGAAGAGATAAATAAAAACTAGAATAATATGATGTTAGAGAAGATAAAGATGATAAAGATAGAGAGAGGGGGAATAAAGAAAAATAAAAATTGAAAAAAGAATGTATAAATATTAGAAAGAAAAAGAAGAATAGTAAGCTGGAAGATATGAAGATATAAGAAAAGATTGAAGAAGAAGAAGAAGAAGAAGAAGAAGAAGAAGAAGAAAAAGATGATGAAAATGAATATAAAATTAAAAGAAAAAGAAGAAGGTGAGATATTTGGAGAAGAATAAAAGAGAACAAAATAAGAAGTGGGAAATATTTTGTATCTCTCTAAACGAATGAAGAAGATTACATAGAAGAACGAGCAAGAGAACACAAAAATAAGACACATCGGAATTACAATATTAAAATGTTGACGAAAACAAAAATGTATATAATCAAAAATTCTACTATTTATATTATTAAAATCTTTAATTAATTAATGTATTTTAAAAATATTGTACCCGCACAAGGTGTGGGACAACCACTTAGTAGATGAATAAAAAACTAAGAACAGAATAAACAAGGTTAAATCATCTCTTGAACCCTCCCCCAAACTTAAATCACACGGTGCCTTGTGTGAGAGAAATTTAATGAAGGATTCAAAAGGGAAAAACCAAGAAAAACAAGGTAAAATGCATGAAAAATGAATGGTATTTACAAGGGATGTTCGTTTGATACCTTAGTGCTCCCCAAAGAACTGGGAAGCAAGGTCTTGTGGTGGTGAAGGTAGGCGACCATCTGGAGCGTTCCAAGGGAAAATCTCGGAGCAACTCGATCGAGCTTGCGGCTCCTCCTCTTCATCGTCAAAGTGTGTGTGGCTTCCTTGGCCTTGGTGGAACCTGGCCATTTCAAACTGGTAGTAAGGGTTCCAGCTGCTCTGATGATAGTCCTCGTAGGGCGCGGGGTCATACTCCAACCCGGGGTTCTCGAATTCTGGTTCCTCCAGGTCAACTCGACCATCAGCTCTACCGAGTGGAATTTCCTCTGTTTGAAGTCGATCGAGTACACTGGTCGAGTTAGAGCGTCGGGCTCTTGAACTCTTCCTTCTCTTCTGTGTGCTGGTTCTTGCTTCTATTAGTTCAAATGATGAGGCACTGGGAGGGTCTTGGGATGGGAGTCTCCTTGGTGTGGTAAGGAGGGAGCGGCTTCTAATGAATGGAGAAGTAAGAGAAGACTTGTTCTTCTTAGATGAGGAACCAGCCACCTTCTTCTCTAGGCTCTTGATCTTTCTCACCATCTTATCCATGGACTTTTTCATCTTCTTCATAGCCTTCCCCTGCCACTTGTTAAGTCCAATCCTCTTGTGAGCAGCCACAACATAAGGGTTCATCCTTGGAGCTTCATACTCCTCAAAATAATAGCAATCTGGCTCGCCCAACTCCTCATTCACTTGGACTCGATCCGCAGCTCGATCCTCAGCTCGATCGAGTTCAGGCTCCTCTTCTCGCATGTCATCTTCATGCCCAACTAGTGCATGAAGTGGAGGGAAAAATTCAATGTTTTTGCCTCTGCTGCCTCTGCTGACTGTGGTGAGTTCAGAGTTGGGCAGGAGCATCTTAGAGGCACCAGCTGTGGGATGTTTGAATAGGAATTGTTATTTCCTATTCAACTCCTTGTGATCGATGAGGGTGTTGGTCTTGCAGAACTTGATGTCCATCCAACCAACTGGAGTTGCCTTCTTCTTGTCTTGATTCACACCAGCTGCGCAAAGAATCGGTGTAATGAGCCCTCCAACGCTCAGCTTTCTCCCTCTTTGAAATCGAGTGCGATAGGCTGTAGTCTTGTAGGTGAGGAGTTGATATGGGAAGGGCATGAGTTTCCCTGTGCCTGATTTGTCTCCCCTGATCTTCCTTCCATCGCTTGTGTGGGAGAGAATGGGTTTGATCCCCATGTCAAGTAGCTTGAGCTATCCTTCAGTGATAGTTCCGGTTGCTTTCCTTGCAAAGAAGGTGTTGGCAAGCGCTTTGTGCACATATCTCAGCACAGGACTCCTAATCTGAGCAGCCTTGGACCTTGAGGAAGAGTACTCTCCTTCAGCGATTGTAGCCCAAACACTTTGGAGATCTTTTTCATTGAACCTCCATTGAGTTCCTTCCCCATAGTTGAAGCCAGACAAGATCTCTAGCTGCATAAAAATGACCATTCTCTTTACCCCAAGTGCCAAAAACGTGATCCATCCCCAACCTTGATCCAAATCGGCTCTATCCTCTTCATCATACTCATGGTATATCAATGATGCTAGGAACTCACAAGTCAACTCCTTGTAAGACTCCATCCTATGAGAGAAGAATTTAGCCAAGTGCATGTTCTTGAGCACCAACTCCACATCCTTGAAGATCCCAAGTGCCTTCATTGTGTCATCATGTGGGTACTTGGTCTCCACAAAATCCATAGAGAGGAGAGCATTGTAGTGCTCTTGGAACATGGGGAGGTCATCTTCTTCTTCTTCTTGCGGCGGTTCACCCTCCTCAATTACCTCATCGGCCACTTCCTCAACATCTTCTTCTTGTTCACCTTGACAGTCATCACTCTCCTCTCTTCCAACATTCACCCCAATCTCAAACTCGCTAAGTTCGCTCTCACTTCTCAGGGGTCTTCTCTTCGCTTCGTCCTTGATATATCCATATCTTTCATGTTTTTATCAAGGTTTTCACTATGTTTTTAATACAAATAATGTGGTTTTTAAGCCCAAGAGGTAGTTTTCTTGTATATTCTGGTTTTGAGCATCATTCAGGTCAAAATAGCAAAGAAGAGTCCAAAATGGAGCAAAAAGAGTCAAATCACCAAGTTCCCAAGTCTAGAGCACCAAATCTACATTTCTCGCTAAAGACCAAACCGGAGCATCCGAAGTACGACCGCATATTCATGCCTTCCCGACGTCCAAAAGTCATGATTCTTATATGGAAAGATAGATATTTGAGTCATGACCCGCGGCGAAGTGGAAAGAGGTCATTTGGATCACTCGTTGGACCGGAACTTATTTTCTACCAAGACATGTCCGACGAGCGCCTAAGTAGAGCCCATGGAGACTTTGATGGATCAAGAGGCCCGAGATACCGCGCCCAAGGCCTTGGCTCATCTTGACACTAGCATAACTCAATCCAGAAGCTTCCATTGGCCTGAACGCGGCCCATTCAAGAACTTGGAGAGCAAGCTCAAGCGGCTAAAGAGAAATGGAAACTTTCCTCTTCTGCGCGCGCTCAACTTTGCCGACCTAGACCCGCTCTCTACCTATATATACTTGCTTTTAGCCTCTTGTAATAAGAATCACCAGCCGCATAACAAGAAACACTTATTCAATAAAGTTCGGAGCCACTTAGGTGGTCTCCTTCTTCTTTCTTTTCTTCTTTTGCATTTGTATATAGCTTGCATGTTTCAATTTATATAGTCTAGAAGTAGAGATTTCTCCCTAAGGGTGAGGCGTGGTTTAGTCATATTCCGCCGCCTCTCTCTCTAAGGATTCATGAGACTTCATCTACTATCTAAGACTCATTGTTGAATTATGGATCCTTCCAATGAGGACGTGATATAATGGCCATCGAAAATCGATTGTTAAAAGGGGAAACCCTATGGTTCTCCATCTTTATTTATGCTTAATGCTGTTGCTAGAGTAGCTAACTAGTGACTTGATTTTAGGTTGATATACTCTCCAAAAGCTTGTTATATCTCCGGATATAGTATTTGATGGGCAAATCGTTTTAGGCTACGAAAGTAGACCTAAAGAGTTTTGTGAACAATCATTACTTGGATGTAATGCATGTCTCACTCTACAATGACCAACGAAAGCTGAGCCCATTGGTTTAAGAGACATAGGGGATTGGAACCACGAAAGTGGAATAATCCTTCCTTAGTGTTTTGAGTTCAAAAGAATCGGATTTTAACAAACTTTTCAATCGACTTGGCTCATGTTTTCAAAAGAGTTTTCAATAGTTCAATAATGTTGCTTGTATAGAATTGCATTGTTATTTCTTTTGCGTGTTCTAAACAAACACAAACCCTTGCATCTTTTGATTTAGCTTAGTCATTTAAACTCTATGATTATGTAATGTGTGAAATCCAATCCCTTGTGGTTCGACCCCTAAATACTACAATTATATGTTGTGCACTTGCAACACTAGTTGTCTTAGGGAATTATTACTTGTACTCATCCCATAGATGCCGCATCAAGTTTTTGGCGCCGTTGCCGGGGATTGCATCATAAACACTTGCATAGTCTTGTTTAAAACTAAGTCTAGATCTTGGTATTTTCGAATACTAACTTTTTCTTTTTAAATCTTGTGTTTATAGGTACTTGGAGATGAATCACAACACCAACATCCACTTTGGGAACCGGACACTGATCCCACACGATCTCCACGGCCGGAGTTACCAAGACCCAGCCGTAAGCATCGTGCCACATCCGTTCCCTCCCAACCGCGCTCATCCGACGTTTGAAGGACCTAGCCGAGACGAGCATCATTACCATCATCATCAAAACCGACCTCCGGTTTATCATCAACCACCTAGACCAGTGTTGCATTCACACCACGACCATGTTCTCAATAGGCGGAGAGATAGCCATTTCGATGCCGTGCTTGAGGGTTTCATGGAGAGCCAAAGAAAAACTAGCCGCGACATTGAGACAAAGCTAGAGTTCACGCGATACGAACTAGATGGAAGACTTGGAGAACTCTCTACCCAAATAGAGAGAGTAGAGTCAAGATGCTTGGACATGGAGGAAGATTTGAAGAAGCAAGGCGAGGCCATTGAAGACAATAGGAGAGCGATACACTTTACCAAAGTTTCTACCAAGGAGATGGACAATCACTTAGATGAGAAGATCACAAGTCTTGATAACAACCTCGATGGCACCACCAAGAGTCTCAATTCAATAACAGCAGTAGCTCATCAAGCTAAGAGGGAGGTAGCCGAAGTAACCCTAAAGGAGAGGCAATGTTACTCGACGATGCTTACATTGGTGGAAGGGCAAAAACAAGTGAAGGCACAAATCCGAGATTTACACATCTCTCTAGACAAGAGGAGCCAAGATATTCAAAGAAGAGCTAGAGGGCTTGAAGACAAAGTAGATGGAGTCTCCAAGGAAGTCAAGGATTTAACCACTCGCTTAGCCAACTTGGAAGAGAAGGTCTTGACCGAGGCAAAGACGACCGTTCCTAAGCACAACCATGCCGCGCCCGTCTTTACTATAAGAGAGACCGACCCAAGAGTGATTTGGGATGAAGAAGAAAGAGAGCTGATCAAGAAAGAGCCACGAAGGCTAACCACTGGAACAAGAGAGAAGATAGCACCAAAAGGAAGAACCCTTACTCAAAGGTCTTCACAACCGCCTCCCACCAAGGAGAAGAGGAAGACAAGATCATCACTTGAAGAGATCATAGATGATTTCAACTTTATGGCGAGGAGATTCCCTTATGGTGTGCCGTTTGATAATGCTTGCAACAAGAGTCCATTCATGCAAGACCTAGCTTGGACACAAGATTGGAGTCTAGCTGAATTGGAAAAGATGTACGAGGAAGCAAGAAAGGGGATGCCTAAACCTAGGTTTCTACACAAGCTTCATGACCCAGGTTACTTCCTTATACATTTCTCTATCAATGGAAGCTACTTTGATGATGCTCTTTGCGATTCCGGTTCTAGTGTGAACCTTATGCCGGCCGAGATAGCCAAGAAGTTGGGATTGATCAATTCAATTGTGAAATCTCGAATGGATTTAAAGCTAGCTGATTCATCATTGACCGAACCACTTGGAGAGGTTAAAGACATTCAGCTTGATTTTGGAGGCTGCATAGTTCCAGCCAACTTCTATGTAGTAACCATGAAGGATCCGGAGGACTTAAAGCTTTTGCTTGGAAGATCATTCCTAGCCACAGCTGGAGCGATCATGGATTGGCCTAATAGAAGAATCTCTCTAGCCAATGTTGACAAGGACACCTTCTACGATGCTGCACCTCCCGGTTTCTCATCCAAGCGATTTCGCTACACAAGTGGAGGAGAGTGCTCACAAGTAAGAGGAGAGTCGCATGGCTACTTGATCAAGGAAGTTCTACAGGACAAGATGCACTTGGAATCATCAGGCAACAGGAAGTTCTTGGAGCCACCAATCCTACCTAACTAAGAACACAAAGGAGTCGAGCTACAAAGACTTAAAACAAGCGCTTGTGGGAGGCAACCCACATTTTCTTATCCCTTCCTCTTTTTTTTTTTTTTTATTTTTTAACTATTTATTTGTTCTATTTATAACTCTTAAATTTTTGAGAGTTTAATAAATTTTACAAAAATAAAATAAAAAGTGTTTTAGGAAAAAGTACCAAAAAGGAGGTCTACATGAAAAATGCATTGGATAGCTACATAGCCACGACTGACCAAGGATTAACCATCTTTGGTCTAAGTTGAAGCATTGAGTCTAGTTTGAGTCCCACCCAAGTCCCACCCATGTTTCAAGAAGCAAAGTCCAAGAAGGGCGCACACGGCCATTGGAACACTATTGCACAAGGCAAAGGTAAGTAATCTCTCCATTAAATGTCATTTCTCAAAAACATTATCTCTATCATTTCACACATGAACACTACTTGGATCTCTGATCAAGATCCAAGTACATGTAGTGTCACGATCAAGTCTTTGATTGGGAAGTTCAAATATTGAACATCTCAATCATTGACAGAGTTTAACAAAGAGTTACTAGTGTTTTTCAGATATAAAACATGACAGGAAACCGGTTCAAAATATCAACAAACATGGCGCGCAAGGAAGCCACAACCGGCCAAAGGAGGATTTACATGCCAAACATGAGAGATGAGGGAAATCCAACCACAATTCAATCCAGGAGGGATAGAAAAACAGTTCGGTCGAAGCAGAACTCAATTGGCCCGAGTAAAAAGGAGATATCACATTCACAATCACTCTCTCGGCCAGAATCGACGAACCAAGCGACAATGCTCGACCATCTCCCAAACGGCACGACCGAAGTCCACCAAACTTCACAGGCGACCTCAAAACATCATTTTGGTCGGCAAATCCAAAAGATAGGACGAGAAAAGTGCCTGCTACGTGAGATAGACGAGGAAGCTCAATACGGCCGACGGCGATGCATAGAATGGCCGACGAACTCAAAACCTCAAGAAGGCGCGAACACCGGTGGAAACTGATCCTCTGGAGTCCAAAAAACACCAAGGAAGAAGAAAGGAAGGAGACGATCGAACAGATACAAGATGGCCAAAGGAATCACATCCCGAGCCATTGGCGCGCACGACGAAAGATCTCCGAATCCACACGTTCAAATCGCCTCAAACTTCACAAGGAGCCACAAAACATAAGGTTGGTCGATGAAATTCATTTCAGTACAATGAATTCCTTACAATTCAAGAGATGGCCGATGGAGTGAAATTTGGCCGATCGCGAGCAAGTAAAATGGCCGACAATCCAAATCACGGCATTTACCGCGGCCACCGGCTCAAATCACCTCCATCAAGCATCCACATCGCATCTAAAGAAGAAAATCCGATTGGAACGAGCAGAATTGGAGAAGACCGAAGGAAGACGTTCCCGGAGCCAATTTGAAAATTTTTCAAAGGAGATCTCAAACCACTCGTTCAAACGACCCCAAACTTCACCAGTCGCCATATTATACAATATTGGTCGACGAAATTTCAAGATAGGTCGAGGAAATCTTCACGGTTCGAGCTGTAGTCCATACCATCACCATCCGGTCGACCAAAACGGACCAGTCTCGGCCAAAAAGGCGAAAAACAGAAAACCAAGGGAGAATTGTCACATTCATCCAACCAAATCCAACAGCTATGATGTTTGCACCAGTCAGTTCATTCCTGGAAGCAACTAAAGCGCACAACCGATCTTCACATCAAAGGCCAAAAATTTGGGTACAATTTTCTACAAACTCTAACTTTTCCATTCATATTTATCATTACCTCTCTTAATTGGATTTTTCTTACACCGAGACGGTGCAAGTTAAGTCTGGGGGGATTACTAACAAGTTTGTTCTTTTTGAATTTCATTGAGTCGTTTTATTGAGTCAAAATTTTGTCAAAGGATTATGACCTTATCTTGGATCTAACCATTGTTGTGCTAACGTTTAAGTGACCATTGAAGCAGTCTTGGCAATACATCTTACCACAGGGACACTATGAGTTGATCGATCTACCAAAAACGCCCACACCTCCAAGGACTTGAGAAGGATCCACTCTTGACTCCGCCCTTAATGAACTTAATCTTCTCAGCTAGGGGCTTGGCATACAAATGGCATGATTCCTCATCCTCTCCATCAAATGAAAAAGTCTTAGTGAGTTCGTGCTTCCCTCTCTCTCCCCTTCAAATTTAAAGAAAAAGCGTAAGGTCCAAGTAACCGGGGATTCGGTGGCAAACACCATCAATACTCGCGTCTATGGAAGGCCTATGAATCCAAGCAACCGGGGATTCGGTGGCAAACACCATCAATACTCGCGTCTGTGGAAGATCCAAGCAAAACCTCTATAATAAAGAGAAGGAGTTGAATAAAAAAATACTTCGCTACCCTAAAAAAGGGATGAATCAACTCAAAGAAGTGAGAAGAGAGAGAGGAGAAACATGGAGTAAAAAGACAAGTGCCAAAACAAGGGGATGAGTAAGAGTCTAAAGCCGGCTGATCGATACTCCCTAGTTGAGACCACACCTTTAGAAATGAAAGGAGTCAAGGAGGGTGAATTGGATTGTCCAAAGAGAGGTGGGCCGCCTTGGAAAAATCGCAAAACTCATGGTATGTACTCTTGTTCTTAATTCAAATATTTGCCTTTACTACTTTCATGTGGATTACTAAAACCAAGCCAACCCGGATTTCCTAATGATTTGAGAGTTCTTGCGTTTTCAAACCTCTCTTCCTCTCTTAGTTTGCTTGGGGACAAGCAAAAGGCTAAGTCTGGGGGAGTTGATATACCATATCTTTCATGTTTTTATCAAGGTTTTCACTATGTTTTCAATACAAATAATGTGGTTTTTAAGCCCAAGAGGTAGTTTTCTTGTATATTCTGGTTTTGAGCATCATTCAGGTCAAAATAGCAAAGAAGAGTCCAAAATGGAGCAAAAGAGTCAAATCACCAAGTTCCCAAGTCTAGAGCACCAAAATACATTTCTCGCTAAAGACCAAACCGGAGCATCCGAAGTACGACCGCATATTCATGCCTTCCCGACGTCCAAAAGTCATGATTCTTATATGGAAAGATAGATATTTGAGTCATGACCCGCGGCGAAGTGGAAAGAGGTCATTTGGATCACTCGTTGGACCGGAACTTATTTTCTACCAAGACATGTCCGACGAGCGCCTAAGTAGAGCCCATGGAGACTTTGATGGATCAAGAGGCCCGGATACCGCGCCCAAGGCCTTGGCTCATCTTGACACTAGCATAACTCAATCCAGAAGCTTCCATTGGCCTGAACGCGGCCCATTCAAGAACTTGGAGAGCAAGCTCAAGCGGCTAAAGAGAAATGGAAACTTTCCTCTTCTGCGCGCGCTCAACTTTGCCGACCTAGACCCGCTCTCTACCTATATATACTTGCTTTTAGCCTCTTGTAATAAGAATCACCAGCCGCATAACAAGAAACACTTATTCAATAAAGTTCGGAGCCACTTAGGTGGTCTCCTTCTTCTTTCTTTTCTTCTTTTGCATTTGTATATAGCTTGCATGTTTCAATTTATATAGTCTAGAAGTAGAGATTTCTCCCTAAGGGTGAGGCGTGGTTTAGTCCATATTCCGCCGCCTCTCTCTCTAAGGATTCATGAGACTTCATCTACTATCTAAGACTCATTGTTGAATTATGGATCCTTCCAATGAGGACGTGATATAATGGCCATCGAAAATCGATTGTTAAAAGGGGAAACCCTATGGTTCTCCATCTTTATTTATGCTTAATGCTGTTGCTAGAGTAGCTAACTAGTGACTTGATTTTAGGTTGATATACTCTCCAAAAGCTTGTTATATCTCCGGATATAGTATTTGATGGGCAAATCGTTTTAGGCTACGAAAGTAGACCTAAAGAGTTTTGTGAACAATCATTACTTGGATGTAATGCATGTCTCACTCTACAATGACCAACGAAAGCTGAGCCCATTGGTTTAAGAGACATAGGGGATTGGAACCACGAAAGTGGAATAATCCTTCCTTAGTGTTTTGAGTTCAAAAGAATCGGATTTTAACAAACTTTTCAATCGACTTGGCTCATGTTTTCAAAAGAGTTTTCAATAGTTCAATAATGTTGCTTGTATAGAATTGCATTGTTATTTTCTTTTGCGTGTTCTAAACAAACACAAACCCTTGCATCTTTTGATTTAGCTTAGTCATTTAAACTCTATGATTATGTAATGTGTGAAATCCAATCCCTTGTGGTTCGACCCCTAAATACTACAATTATATGTTGTGCACTTGCAACACTAGTTGTCTTAGGGAATTATTACTTGTACTCATCCCATAGATGCCGCATCAGTCCTCCGTTCCTCCCTCAATCTCTCAATCTCTTCCCTATCCAATTCACTCACTCCCTCTAGCAGTCTTCTTGCTCCCCTTGCTACTTCTTTCTTTCCAAGAGTTGCATGGCTTCCTTCACCTCTCAACATCTTAACCTTGTTGCTTCTCAAAGTGGATTCCCTGAAATTCATCAAAGTTCCAAAGAATTAGAATTGTAATTATCGATTCGGTCAACTCGACACCCAACTCGATCGAGTCAAAAAACTCGAGTGACAAACTCGATCGAGCTAGGTAGAAACAGAGCAAACCGAATCTAAATCAAGTCTTAAGAGTAGGATAGGATGCTAAACACTGAAATTGATCTAAGAACATTAAGAACTTGGAACAATGAGCAATACTAGTGAAGATTAAAGCATCCTAGCCAATACCAAATTCAAACTCAAGGATTTAAGCACATGCAACAATATTAGTGATAAAACAAAGGTTAGGTGAGACAGGTTCATGAAATTCTCTAAACATAAGATGAATATGAATGAAAATACTCAAGAAACATCTCACAAGAGACTCATGCAAGCAAAAATTCAAGATAGCGAATTGCAATGAGAGATAGATAAGGATCAAAACTATAGATTTAGGGTGTTTAGAGATCAAACCTTGCTTGGATGATGGATGCTCTAGAACAAGAGCTAGAAACTAATGTAGTAAAGGAGAAGAAAGAAACAAGGAGAAATCGCAAAACATTAAAAGAGAAGAAGATTTTACGGTTTTCCTTAGAGAGAAGGGAGAGAGATGAATGGTTTCAGAAATTTGTGAGTTTGAGAGAGAGAGAGGGGGCGTGGATCGAGTTATATGCAAAGGAGAGTGTGTGAGATGTGTGGTTGGGATGGAAAGAGGGTTTCAAGAGGGGAAAAAGGCATAGGGTTTCTTTGGTCGAGTTTGGGAAATGGGGGACCAAAACCACAGATGTGGGACCCACCCCCTTGACCAAGGAAAAACGGTTAAGAATTTGAAATTCAAAAATTCTACCTTCCTCGATCGAGTTCATCCACTCGATCGAGTTACCTTTGTTTCTGGCTCGATCGAGTTGTCGGTCGAGCTGACTTCTTTTTGCCTAAACTTATCTTCCTGCAAGGGTTAACACACGAAATACTAGATAGAAATTGATATAACGACTATATACAAGGATAGACATGGGACTTCCTCCCAAGTGAGCTTGTTTAATGTCCCATAGCTTGACCTTGACCTTTTAGGCATTGGTTGAGCTAGTCCCACCATCAAGGGTGATAGTGAGGACTTGAGATAGAAGCTCCTTCAACTTGGTTGGATCCCTGGATTGCTCAGAAGTGACCAAGGCTTTAGCCCTAGAGAATGGTCTTGATCTCCCCTTGTACCTTATCTTGTACTCAATCTTCCCATTTTCATACTTGGTGGGGAACAAGTTCATAGTGAGCTGAGATGTGAGCTGGGATAGCTTGACTAAAGAGGCCTGAACTGGTGGATCTTTCCTCTTATCACCTGGTAGTGCCTTAGAAGCTGCATCCCCCCCCCTTCTTTTAGAGCCCTTCCTAGTGGCTCATCAAAGAAAGCTTGAAGGCTCTCTTCATCAAGCACACAAGGCGCATGAACAAGGCGATCAGCTCTTGGCCTTTCAGGTCGTGGTTTCTCAAGTTTTAGCTTGTCCAGTCTTGATCCTTTCTCAACTCTTGTTTCTCTCTCAACCCTTGGTTCCTTGTCAATCTTCCTATTCACAATCTTAGCAACTTCAAGACTCTTGGAACTCATTGGTGTACTCTCTATTGTGCCACAATACTCATATCCTCTAGGTTGCAAGCGGTATGAGACCAAGCTATTGACCTTGTGGAGAATCACTTCTTGTTTGTGAAAGTCTATTGAAGCGCCAACTGTGCTAGAGAAGGGAGTTCCCAAGATCATAGGCACATCCTTCTCTTCTTCCATCTCCAAGACAGTGAGATCAGTTCGGACAATGCATTCTCCCAATTTCAAAGGATAGTTCTTGAATACACCAAGAGGAGACTTAGAAGTGGCATCTCCAAACATGATTGAAGTAGTAGGGCGTTGCAATGTTCCATGAATACCAAGTTTCTGAGCCATTGTGAGTGAGATGAGGTAGATACTAGCACCAGAATCGACCAAGGCATTATCAAGCTCCAAATGTCCAAGTGTAATAGGAAGTGTAAACTTTCCTTGATCCTCAAGCTTTGGCAAGAAAGAGGGTGAGGTTAGGATGTTGGTCTGGGAAGTAGAGTCCTCCAGAAGCTTAGACACTTTGTCCTTGTTGTTCAAGACATCTTGAATCAATGGCATTTGCTCAAATGCCTCACTCATGCTTTCCATAAAAGGCAACTCAACTCCAACCTTACTGAGGTCTCTTCTGAACTTATGAATCACTTCCTTCTGACTTTGACTGAGTATGCGACTAGGATCTGGATCAACAGGTTAGTAAAACTCAAGAAAAGTCGGTTTAGGGACATATATTGTCGGACTCGATCGAACTGAAGAAGCAGTGTGACTTGATCGAGCTGCCGATTGAGCATGTTGTGCGAGCTCAACTGGTGAAGTGTGGACAGCTATTTGAGTAGCTTGCACCTCAGGTTCATAATTCTGGACTCCAGGAGCCTCAGCAGCAACATTCTCTTCATCATCAAGCAGCATACAAAACTCTTCAATGAACTTCTCACTATCGTCCTCTTCATGAAGTTCTTCTTATTGAGTGAAGATGACTTTGCATTGTTCCTTAGGATTCTGAATAGCCTTACCTGGTAATTGTCCTTGCTTTGTAGCAGCAGCAGCAGAAGAAGCATGGTTTTCTAGTGAGTACACTCTTGTGTTCAGGTTCTCAATCTTGGAATTAATGTCAGCTAGCTTCTTGCTTGTTTCTACAATACCATCCGCTTGGCCTTGGAGCAACTGTTTCAACATGGCCTTGAGCTCATGCTCAGGTGTAGGTGCAGGCTGGGATGGTTGGTGGGGAAATCCAGGTGCTATATGCATTTCCCGACCAGGAAAAGTCCCTTGAGGGCCTTGGTAGTTGTTTTTCGGACCATACCCATGTTGAGGAGCTTGACTCGATCGAGCTTGCTACTGTTGAGGGTAGACCTGATCCTGTGGGTTGGCAACGTCAGTGTTTCTGTATGACATAGATGGGTTGGCCTTGTAATTGTAATATCCTTTGTTGTAACCTCCTTGCCCATTGCTCATGTAACACACTTCAGCATATTGTGTATCCTCCCCTTCTTGAACAGGTTCCATCTCTTCAGCAGACACAAAATTGACTTTCTTCATTGTGGACTGAGCTAAGATAAGCTTATCCAACTTCTCATTCAACGATTTGACCTCTTTTCTCAATTTCTCGTCTGACTCGATCGAGTGGTGGGTCGAGCTCCGGTTGGTGCGATCATACTCTTCTCCATAACTTCCATTGGAGTTTGCAATGTTTTTTACAAGCTGCCAGCCATCATCTACATCTTGATTAAGGAAGTTTCCATTGCTGGCTGTATCCAACATCTCCCTATATCTTGCCAAACAACCTCTATAGAGAGTAGAGGGCAAAGACTCATTATTGAAGCCACGATGAGAGCATTGACTAGTTTAGCCCTTGAATCTTTCCCGAGCTTCAGCAAAAGTCTCATTGTTCCTCTGAATGAAGCCTGATATCTCGCTCCTTAGCTTGGCGGTGTGACCGGTTGAGAAAAACTTAGCAAGAAACGCCTTCTTACATTCATCCCAAGTGGTGATTGTGCCATGGGGCAGGCTCTTCTCCCATTGGTGAGCCTTGTGAGCAAGAGACATAGGGAAGAGTCTCAGCTTGATGGCATCTTCAGAGACAACATTGATGTTCACACAACCTATCAAACTCATCCAAGTGATTAATTGGGTCTTCACGTTATAGCCCATAAAACATTTTGTTCTGCATAAGGTTGATCATGCCCAATTTGATCTCAAAGTTGTGGTTTTGGACAGGTGGTGGGTGATGTGGAGTCAGGTTTTACCAAACTCCTAGACCTCTGCAAGTGCACAGATCGCGGAAGTATGGGTATCGAACACAAGGACTGGCTATTGAGTACACTTTGAAACTATGGATTTTGGATCAAGCTAAAACAAAAGTATGATTGAGGTTGTAATGGTGAACCGAACTAGCAAGTATAACGAGGTTGTAAATCAATAAAGGAAAAGCGCTAGGTCATAGGGGCTATCGCAGAGAAGCAAGCAATGATCAATGAAACAATGATAGATGAATTGATTAGGGATATTGGGATATTAAGAACCGTCTAGAACACAGATCACGAATATAAAACCATTCCACTTTCGAGGCTCCGGCTCCTTTGTTAATCTACCTAGTCGCTAAACTTTTGGTATGTCCCTAGGTGATTAAATCAAGCTTTAGAATGAATAGGTTCTGATACAGTTCACTAGATATAGATAGATCAACTTTCGCAGTCTAAGAAACCTAGCTTGTCAAAGAATATGTCCGGCGAATGATACAGCACTGTCGAGGCTCAAATCAACCTAAGATCGGATTACTAGATGCGCGGTAAAGCAATCAGCATTAGTTAAGTGCACAAGACGAGACAAAGACTCTAATATAATCCCTAGCTAATCATTGAAATCAAAGATCATGCAAGCAACTCATTGAATAGTAACCCTAGCAACCTAACTAGTGGATTACTCAGACATGATCAAAGCAAACACACATAGAGATGAAGAAAACATGATTGCAATAAAACTTAGAGTAGGAAATCGAAATACAAGGGCGGCTCTCTTTTCACAAGAGGCTAAAAAGCTATATATATAGTGCTAGGTCTTTTGAGGCGGCTTAGGGTTAAGCCGGGCTTGAAAATATGAAACGGGCTTCAAAACGGGCTTCGGGTCGACCGCGGCGTTGGGACGGTCGGTCGGGACGATCGGCCGGAATCGGGTCGTGGCCGAGTCGGAACGGTCGGGTCGGATCGTGGCCGCGGTCGCGTGGTCGGACGGATGAAGATTTGGCCGATGAAATCTCGGCCGGACGGGGCGTAGTTCCCGGCTCGGACGGAGCGTCGGCCGTGGTACGCGAGTTGCGCGGCCGCGAGGCTTTTCCCGGCTCGCGCGCTTTGGTCGTGCGCGGTGTGGAGTGGGTGCGTTGGCCGACCGCGGGCTTGTTTCCCGGGTCGTGATGCGTGATCGGCCGACGGTTTGGACTTTGGCCGAGACTTCAGACGGACGGATGAGATTTGGCCGAGCGGAAACGTTCGTTCCTCGGCCAGCCGGACTGCGCGGTTGGGCGCTGATTCTCGATAGAGCCGTCTGGACAGTCTTCACTCTTTTGGTTATAACTCCTTTTCTACTCATCCAAATGAGGCCATTCCAGTTGCGTTGGAAAGTTAACTCAATCAGAGCACGCAGGGAACTGGTCTTGATGAAATCCATTGAGTAGATCTTTTTCTGGGCCCTCTTAAAGTTGGTGCTTGTGCATGGAGCGGCTTGAAGTGCAAATCCTATGGTTTTGCTCCAAAATGCATCATTTCACCTGTTTAGACTCTAGACACTATAAACACAGTAAAACTACCTTTTTAGATAGAAAACCTGCCAAAAACCATTAGAAAACAATGCTAAAACAGTATAAAAAGTGGGTAAATTAGAGGTATATCAACTCCCCCAGACTTAGATCTTTGCTTGTCCTCAAGCAAAAAGAATCTAAATCCGTGAAAGAGGTTTGAAAACGTGGAAGCTCCCTTGCTCTTTTGAATATCCTGTGAAAGGTTCCTGTGTGAACCGAAATCCGCACAATAGATTCCAGAGAGGAACTAGAAATTCTAAGTATAACACGAATCGAGATCCAAACATGGTGATTTTATTGATGTAAAGTGTAAAGTGTTTTGCAATGGAAAAATGATCATCGAACCCTTTTGGTTCGATCTCTATTTATACAAGGTATAGAGCCGACTCTTTGCGAGATTCTCTACAGATATTCTAAAGATTTCCTCTTCTGTGTGGCGGCGCCGCCCCTTTGGTTCTCACCCTCGTCTAGGGCGAAATGTGAGTCTCTTTTTGGGCTTGGGCTCAAATTGTTAAGGATAGATGTCGATTCGGCCCAAGGATAGCTACAGCTCGGCCCATACTCGATCGATCTCTGATGCAACTGCAGTGATGAGTTCAATCGACCTGCAGCTTGCAGTGCAGGTTCGATCGACCTGCAGCTGGCAGTGCAGGTTCGATCGACCTGCAGCTGGCAGTGCAGGTTCGATCGACCTGCAGCTTGCAGTGCAGGATCGATCGACCAGCTTGCAGTGCAGGTACGATCGACCTACTGCTGGCAGTACAGGTTCGATCGACCTGCTGGCGGCTGTGTTGGTTTGATCGACCTGCAGCTGCCAGTGCAGGTTCGATCGACCTGCTGGCGGCTGTGCAGGTTCGATCGACCTGCTGGTGGCTGTGCAGGTTCGATCGACCTGCAGGTGCTCTCCTTCCTTGCCACGCGTCATGTTTTATTGTTGAACTCGACGGAAAGTATTCCGACCCCAACAGTTAGCCCCCCAGCTCGTTGATCTTGAAGTCGAGATTGGCGAGCTGAAGAATAAATAGTCGAGGTCATCCAACAATAGCATGAAGAGGCGTGTATCTTTTCTGATGGGCCTGGGCCTTCTTTTTAAACATCTTCCCCTGCCGCCTTGGGAAACACGAGCCGCCTCTTTTCCCCTTTTAAAACCACGAGCCCCCTTATCATTCTTCTCACAACTTCGCTTCTTCTAGTTTGCCAAAGGTAACGATATCTCTCTTCTTTGGTTGCTCATATTGCAGTTCGTCGCTATCCAGCTTATCGGAGATGCATTCCTTGTTCCGACTTACTCGTGAAGATAAGGCGAAGCAGGTCGCCGAGACCCCGGCTTCCAGTGCGCGGAAGGGTAACCGGCCGGAGGCGAAGAAGAAAGCTCCTGCTTCTGGTTCCAAGGACGGCGAGCGTCGACCCTTGGTGTTAGGTCTCCCTGCGCCATCTAGACCGTTGGGTTCAGCTCCTTTGAGACGTGATGAGGAGCGGGTTGTGAGCCGCAAGCGTGTGTTCGACATTGTTGCGAGCCGGAAGATGGTCACCAAGAAGCAGCGTGTCCGCGAGTCGATTGACGTCGAGGAGCCTGCGTCTGATCCTGTCGGCTTATTCTCCCGGTGCTCATCTTTGAAGATCAAGCTTCCACCTTTAGAGTCTATGAGGGCTCGCAATTCCTTTATCGAGGTGTCGACGCAAGGGACGAAGGTAGTGTTTCTAATTCCGTCTTGTTTATCCTTCTCATTACTTTCTAGGGTTTTTGCCTTGTTCCTCCTTCTCATCCCTCTTAAGCTATTGCCTTTGTTGTTTGGTTTTTGTAGTTCATCGAGTCGATCTATGGGCTCACCGCTGACTACGAGATTAAGGCTCGCCGCGATCACGAGCTGATCATGGAGTCGAGGAGGGAGGTGGGCTTGCTGGAGAAGCAACTTAAGGATAAGAATGACTCCGATGGTGGGGAGGCAGCGGAAGCGCTAAAGCGAGAACACGAGGAAGTGGTGGAAGTGTTGGAGGCTCGCGTGGACAGGTTGCAGAGAGAGAAGGAGAAGCTTCAGAAAGATCTTACTGCGAGGGTCGAACTCGAGTTGCGATTCGAGAAACGAGAAGTTAGGATGGAGAAAAACATTAAGGAGAGCTGCGGGCGTGACATCGAGTGTGTGCGGCGCGAGCTATCAGCGAAGCTCGACAAGGTGACGCCGGCACTCAGGGATCTTCAGGATGCGAGGCGAGCTGAGGCTCATGTGACACAGATCGATGCCAACCTCGATTTTATCCGTCTTCATAAGAAGGGCGAGATCACAGATTTTGACGCGGAGGTGGAGATGCTTCGTAAGATCCGAGCAGAGAAGATGGGAGTTCTCGTGAAGTGCGACGAGATTGCTTCCAGGTTGTTGAGCGAGCTCGGGCTTCCTCCTCTTACACCCGAACCGCCGATCGTTCCGCCTCCTGCGTTCGATCCCGAGTCAGTCGAGAAGGCGGCCGGAAAGATTGGGGTCGCTGATCCGCATGGTTCGAACATCACTGCGCCTGTGTCCTCGGATGATACTTCTTTGGGGGTCGAGCAGGTTTCGGGTGAAACCACCGCTGTAGGAGATGAAGCTGGCGAGCCGAGCCGACTCCCGAGAAGACGACAGACGCCACCTCTACTTAGGTTTTACTGCTTTATGTTTTTTGTTTCGTACTTAGTGCCTGGACGGCTTTATCCATTGTGACTTTGCTTTGTTTTGCTTTTGGGTTTCCTGACGAATTGCCTGGACGGCTTTATCCGCTTTGACTTTGCTTTGGTTTTATGAAATATTTTGAACTCTTTCTTCTTGTCTGCAAACGAGAACTTGTTGTGATGAAACTCTTGCAGGGAAGGTGTTTAGGAAGAGTAAGCAAACCATTCATGTTAAAATTGTTTGAACAATTCACACTTAGATATTTTTGTAGAGAGATCAACCTTTACCAAGAGGCATTCTCGTTGTTGGGTTGCGTTCGTTTTTGTTTCGGTTTTTCTCGTGACTTCCTTCTTTAGGAATTACAAGTTGCGTTCGTTTTTGTTTCGATCGAAATTATAAAATGCGCATAAAAAATCCGCAAAGGATTGTTGTAGTTCATTCACTGTGGCCAGCAGCGAATGTTAAGTGTGAAATGATGAGATATGAACTGAAAAGAAAGATGTTGTGAACTGGAAACATTCTGAGCTGAGATAGGTAAAGTGACATAGAAGTCTTCCTCATTGGGCTGGAAAGTGACAACACCTGAGCGTAGGCTTGGGATGTCTCATGTGGCAGCAAGACAAGGGAAGTGTTGGCTGGACCAATTGGAAACTCATAGCAAAACCGAGTTGGGTCTTTAGTCCAACGGTTTAGGAAGTGGATGTGCTGAAGAGCATGGAGATCCAAAGGGGTTGGCTTGGGTAGTGGCTCATAGTTGGGAATGTCAATCCCCACATGCAGTACTATGGCCGTGATAAGCCTCCCAAAACGAACACAAAGCTTCTTGTTGCCTTCCAAGTCTTGAGCTAGCTTCCTCACATTGATGAATGTCTTGGCAAGTAAAAGTCCAAGGTTGGCCTTGTACTCATGCTTGATGAATGGTGTGGTGAGGATGTAGAACTCATCAGTTGTGACCTTGTTGGCTTCTTGTTTGCATTGGAAAGTGGTGGAGATGAGGCGGTGCACATAGCGAATGGCTGGATGAGTGATTCTAGACACCTTTGACCTTGAAGGCAAGAATGGTTCATTGGCAAAGTGTGTCCAATCAGCAAAGGCAGCTTGTTTCCTCTTTGAGTTCTCCTTGAAGTCATGTGCTGTCTCATTGGGAAGTCCAAAGAGTTGGCATAGAGCTGAGATGGAGATGCGCCCATTGGCATCGCCTATCTTGAAGAGTAGGAGTCCATCACCAGCTGGTTGGTCTCCATTGTGGTTGGGAAAGGCAAGAGCTACTGTGGAGAGGAACTCCTTGGTGAGTTGTGAGTACTCACTACATCTAGCTTGAAGAGCTTGCTCAAGCCTAGCTTCCTTATGTACCATGTGACATCATCTCTTATCTTGAGAAGATCAAGGGTTTGGGTGTCCATCTTCACACATGGCTTCGATGTTCACCTTCTCCATTGCCTTCTTACACTTTCTTGGGTCTTGATTTTGTTCTCCAACAAAGGTTACAAGTGCCCAATCATCTTCTCCTCTTGGACTCTCCACATGTTCTTGACTTGCATCAATGGAATGTGGTGAAGTTGGTATTGCTGCTCTTGCATTGGAGCTACTACTCCCTAGCTTGATTTGTTTCTTTGGTGGTTCCATGAATGGGTTCTTCTTCTTCTTCATACTCTCATTTCCTTTTGTCTTTGCCATTGTGTACCTACAAGAGCAAATTCTTGGGAAGAAATATGAGTTTGTGATTAATGCAAAAGAAGAATAAGCTAATTGAGTTGTAATAATGATATGGAATAATGGAACAACTCAAGGCTTAATCATGAATCAAAGAGACAAAATGGAAATTTCACTTTTTCAAAGTTAATTTTCGGATTTTACTGTTCATCCCAAGATTATGGTGCTTAAAATCAAATTTTCAGCAAATCAAGAGAAATTGAGTTTCTAATCCAAGTAATCACTAGATAAACTAATGAATTGAAGTATGCCTAAGCAATTTCACCTTTGAATAAGGGGTTTGGAATGCCCAATAAGTTTTGTGAAAAACTATTCAATTGTGAAATTAAACTTCAAATTAACTCTAAACCACCTAGGTTCCACCTAGCAAAGTTCATTACAAGACTAATAAGGATGCTAATTTCAAGTTTAGACAAGAGTTTAGACCAAACATGAAACTTATTGAAATTTTCGATCTTGCATAAACATAGGATTAGAGTTAGAAGACATACCTTGTGTGTTGAAAAGTGAATAAGGGTTGCAAGAGCAAGTAAATTCCAATTTAGAGTTATGAACAGTAAAAGTTTTGAAATCAAAACTCTTAGAGTTCCTCTAATGGAGTTTAGGGTTTTGGAGAAGAAAGAGAGGTTCTTGTTGTTTTCAAGGGAAAGGTGAAGTAAATAAGATCTAATCCTATCAATTTTCCTTTTCAAATTCGAATTTTGATTGAAAACCGGTTTAAGTTGGTTTAGATTGGTTAAAACCGGTTTGAATTAATGAAAAGGGGACTTACCTTGGCCGAGAAAAGTTTGGGCCGATGGCCGATGGATTTTGTCGCGGTCGAGCGATTTGGTCGGCCAAATCGAATGGCGAGAGATTTCGGCCGAGGCCGAGCGTTTTTCCCGGATCGACCGTACGGTCGGTCCGTTCCGATACAAAATTCGGCCGATCGCGGCCTTTCTTTCCGGTTCGTGCGTGCCGCGCGAACGTTTCTGTCGCGCGATAGATAATCCGGCCGAGCAGGATTCCTTCCCGGCTCGACCGTAACGGTCGGCCCGGTTGGAAATTGCTCGGCCAAAATCACTTTTGCGCGTCCGCGGCCAATGTTTGGCGCGGATTGTGTTTTCACACCTTTTTCTCCTTCTATCCTATCTTAAAACAAAGAAAACACAAAAGCAAAACAAAAACTAAGAAATTAAAGAAAGAAAAGTAAAAGTACCTCATGGGTTGCCTCCCATGCAGCGCTTGTTTTAAGTCTTTAGCTTGACTGTAAGGCTTGGCGCTCAGGAGAAGATGGAGACAAGAGGCATCTTTGATCCTCCAAGTCTTTTCTCCTTGCAATGAGTATCTGGTGGGTGATTCACAGCTGGATAGACAATCTCTCCATGAATGTCCCTTGGCACTACTGCCTTAGGAAAAAGCTTTAGAGTTCTTGTCACTTTCTCCTTGAATCCTTCTAGATTCTCATCAATAAGCTCCTTTGGGAATAGAAGCTTCATGTTGCGGCCAGACCTAGGCTTTCTAACCTTCCTTCTTGGCTTGGCCTCATCTTCAATCTTGGTTGATCCCTTGGGCGGTTTTGGTGTAGGGGCCTTAGTCTTACTCCTTGCTTGTTTGGCAAGCTGCTTGGGCTTAGGAATGGGATCTTCCTTGATTGTTTCTTCAGTTTCTCCTTCTTGGGGTGGCTTCAAAGTAACTTTCTCCTCTTGGACCATGTCAACAAAAGAGTTCTTTGTTGAACACATAGGGAAGAACATACCCTTGTTCACCTTGTTGAAAGAGATTCTTTGATTGGGGAAATCAAATATGGCACCCACAGTAGACAGGAAAGGGGTTCCAAATATGAGAGGTCTATGGCTACTCTCTCTCATTTCCACAATCTGGAAATCAGTAGGGATAGAGCAATTTCCAATCTGCACCATCACATTAGGCACAAAGCCATAGGGGGTTTGTGAGAATGAATCAGCATAGTTGATGGAGATGGATGATGGCTCTATCTTGGTGAGGCCTATCTTGTCAGCTATCCTCTTAGACATGATGTTCACATTGGCTCCTGTGTCACACAAAGATTGCTCAAGAATGTTACCTTTGATGATACAAGGCACAGCAAACTTTCCTGAGTTATCTGTCTTGGGGATAATCTTTGGGAAGAGTCTTCTCTTTCTAGCTCGATTGGACTCTCTCTCTGGGTAATTCTCTTCAGGCCAAATCATGCAATCAACAGTAGGTTTTGAAAGCATCCATTCTGGAACTTGGTCTTCAAATCTTTCTTCTATGGCGGCTGAGTTGCAAAAGGACTTCTTGGATTCAGCTTCCTGTCTCTTAACAGCTTCCATAGTTTGAGTGACTTGAGTCTCTAGTTTCTTCACATGAGTGGCAACAGCATCATACTTGGTGTTGAGATTGCTGAACAAAGTGTCCATCTTCTCATACATCTCTTTATGTTTCTCTTCTGGCCATCCATGATGCTTCTTGACGACCCTCTGGAGGTAGCTTTGACTAAAGCTGAAGGCAAGTATGATTTCCTGAATGAGGAAGCCGATGGCTTCGGGAAAATGATGGAGAGACTGTGCATTCATGAGCTTGGAGGACGAGGAGGATCGATCGAAGCCGATGCCAGATCGATCGAATGCACCTCAGGAGAGTCCCGTCAACAGCCCTTGGAGCGAGTCGAGTGCACCTAAGCTCGAGCTGAAAACACTCCCTGCGGGGCTCAGGTATGCATTTCTGGGACCTAACTCTACATACCCTGTGATAGTGAATGCTGAGCTGAACAATGTTGAACTTGCTTTGCTTCTCTGTGAGCTTAGGAAGTATAGAAAAGCTATAGGGTATTCGCTAGATGACATCCCTGGAATTTCTCCTGATCTTTGCATGCATAGAATACATCTAGAAGATGAATCGATGACTTCTGTAGAACATCAGAGGAGGTTAAACCCGAATCTAAAAGATGTTGTCAAGAAAGAGATAATGAAACTTCTAGATGCTGGTGTAATTTATGCTATATCTGATAGTAAGTGGGTCAGTCCTGTGCATGTAGTTCCTAAGAAAGGTGGTATAACTGTTGTTAAGAATGATAGGAACGAGCTGATACCCACTAGAACTGTCACTGGTCATCGCATGTGCATTGATTACCGTAAACTGAATGCTGCGACTCGCAAAGATCATTTTCCTCTCCCGTTTATTGATCAAATGCTTGAGAGATTGGCTAACCATCCATACTACTGCTTTTTAGATGGTTACTCAGGTTTCTTTCAGATCCCCATCCACCCAGACGACCAGGAGAAGACGACATTCACATGTCCATATGGCACTTATGCTTATCGCAGAATGCCGTTTGGACTGTGCAATGCACCGGCCACGTTCCAGCGCTGCATGATGTCTATTTTCACTGACCTTATTGAGGACATAATGGAAGTTTTCATGGACGACTTTTCTCTATGGAAGCTCCTTTGCTGTGTGTTTGTCTAATCTGTGCAGGGTATTGCAGCGGTGTGAGGAGAGACATCTTGTGCTGAACTGGGAGAAATGCCACTTCATGGTGAGAGATGGGATCGTGCTGGGACATAGGATTTCAGAGAAGGGAATCGAGGTCGACAGAGCGAAGATCGAGGTGATGATGAGTCTACAGCCGCCTAACTTCTGTCAAGGGAATCCGCAGCTTTCTGGGGCATGCAGGGTTCTACAGGCGGTTCATCAAGGACTTCTCCAAGATCACCAGACCTTTGACGCAGCTGTTGTGTAAGGAGGTCAAGTTCGACTTTGACAGTACATGCTTGGAGGCCTTTCACACGATCAAGGGAGCTCTGGTGAGTGCTCCAATTGTCCAACCTCCTGACTGGAACCTTCCGTTCGAGGTCATGACAGATGCTAGTGACTATGCTGTCGGAGCGGTCTGGGCAGAGAAAGGAGAAGAAGCTGCACGTGATCTACTACGCCAGTCGCACACTTGATGAAGCTCAGTGCAAGTACGCTACGACTGAGAAAGAACTATTGGCGGTGTGTTTGCATTTGAGAAGTTTCGGTCCTATCTTGTTGGATCGAAGGTGATTGTCCATACTGATCACGCTGCCTTGAAGTACTTGCTGACGAAGAAGGATGCGAAGCCGAGACTCTTGAGATGGATTCTTTTGCTTCAGGAGTTCGATCTGGAGATCAAGGATAAGAAAGGGATTGACAATGGTGTAGCTGATCACCTGTCAAGGATGAAGATCGATGATGACGTCCCTCTAGACGACAGCGTCTACGCTGTTGAGGTGATCGATTACGGCGAGCCCCTGCTCGCAGATGACGGAGTTCGATCGAATGCTGGTGACAGAGGTCGATCGAATGGAGATGACGGACAACATTGGGAATGACGGAGCCTCTGTGGCATCCCGTTGAGATTGATCAACGGGACCCAGCTCAGAGGGAGCAGATCACACGGAGGCATCATGCTCGCGCTTGTGAGCCAGCTCCGCTCTTACCAGGATTGGGCGTCGAGGAACAGAGGCATCCGGCACAAGTGCACGTTACGGATGGGCGGCTTGATCACACATCTTTACGCGCCGTCGGTTTCACGCCTGATAGGGAGGAGGAGGTCGCACCACCCGAGGGGCTCGGCCTCGAGTACCTGAGGAACAGCGTCTTCCTGCAGAAGACGTCAGACGAGAGACAGCTCCTCTACCAGTTCGTTCACCTTCAGCTCGGCGCTTCCCGCATGATGCTTCCCAGCCCCAGCTGGACCACGATCAGAGGAGGGTCCAACGTCGAGTTCAACCCACCTCAGTCCGCTCTTTACACGGGAGATAGACCGTCCGCTAGAGACTATGCCACAGCTCCGGCGACCACACACCGCGGTGATCGGTCACACGCAGAGCTTGACACCACGCAGACGGACGAGCTCGACCACTTCCACTTCGCGGGCTACACCACCACTGCCAGACAGAGCGCCGGACTGAAGGCGGCTCACCAGCACATCAGCATTCTTCAGCGGTGGAACAAGACGCAGACAAGATCGCCAGCAAGCTCAAGAGCAAGATGAAGAAGATGGCCGATCAGATCCGTGCCATGCAGGACAAGCTGAGTTGTGTTGCCTCAGCTTCAGGAGGTGTACAGAGGACCGCAGTCGGTCCACGCCAGGCGGACCTCTCCGAGGACGACGACGAGCCACACCACGACACCACTGGCGGTCGGCCACTACCCCCTGACCCGCCACGTCATTCTTCTTTCGAGCCGCGTCAGCAGCGCAAGAGGCGCCACGGAGAGCGACAGACTGCGAGACCATCAGGCGCACGAGCTGACGCCGACTTGCCATTCAGGCGATGCAGCTCTGTCTCTAGACAGACGGCTCCGACGGATCATCACACTCCGCCGACGAGGGCTCCACCGGACCAGTACGTGCCGTACAGCACAGAGCGAGCTGCGCCTACCACCATCCCTCCATACACGCAGGAGAGCATGCAGGAGGACCTCGACGACTCATTCACGGACGTCGCTGATGCTCTTCTCGCCTCGACTCGACCGATCACCACCACTGTATCATTCCATTTTCCCTTTTCTTTTTCTTTTATTGAGTCTGTTTAACTCTCTCTTTGATTTATTTTCACACCGGGTCGGTGTGAAGTAAGTCCGGGGAGGGTCTTTGTGTTTACTAACGTCTTTTTCTTTCTTTTGTTTTCTGTTTCACCTTGAGTCATTTTGATGTTTTCTTTGAGTCAGGTTTTATTGAGTCAAAAACTTGTTGGGAATAATGAACTTATTGATGCAACCATTTGTGATCTTGAATTCTTTCTATCTAGTGACCAATTTTGCAGGGTTTGTTATGTGTAAAAAGCTGGATTACCCTTTTGGTCAGACTTCCCCCAGGAATTTTCGTTTTGCAGAGATTTTGGTGAAACATTTGGTTGACTCTAATGCTATTGGACCACTAATCTGACATCAATTACTTCTCATTCGGAATGTCATAGCAGGGAAACGGACCATACACTCAGGACTTCTTATTCATTTTACCACTCTCTGTTGATCCTGAGTGGCCAGCCCATTTTTGGTTGGTCCCACCTTGAGCCTTACCTCCTTTCTGACTTCATGCACTCTGTTCTTCTATGTCATATATGCAGATATGTGCAAAAACGTCGGAGAGAAAGGTTCGACACAGCTTCCCAACCACATTCAAGACGAGTGTTCATCTATAACACTGAGAATGGGAAGTGATGGTGGAGTATGGAGCCTGAATCGATCGAACTGATGGTCGTTCCTTGGAGAAGCACGAATACACAATAACATTTACGAGCCATTGACACTAGTTCCCCTCAAAAAAAAAAAAAAAAAAATCAGAAAAATTGAGGAAAGGAACTAGTGATTCAATAAAATGTCAAGCTCGACCGAAAATCTCCAAGGAATACCACCGATCAAGGCGAATTGGGAGTTAGAGCTGTTCTGGATAAAATCCAACATACAAGGAGTTGAAGAGTGAAGTGGTTGGGAAATGTGGCTATCAACAGAACCATTCTCTCTTGCTGTTTTGCGCGATATCATGCATCCTCCGGCGTATCTGGTAACCCTTAAACACTTTAACTCACCGATAAAACTGGCCTTTTGATACCAACACCGTCGACCCTGTATGATGTTCTTGATGAGAGGTCCACGCCAAATCTTAATGAATGTAGAGAGTTAACCAATGTGTAGCTTGAGTTTCTGCAGGATGGAGGTTCATCACGGGATCAGGAATGCGAGACTTCAAGGGGACTACAGTGATTATGCACTGACCGAACCTTGTCCTTTGAGGTCTACTGATGATCCTTTGGGGTATGGTTGCTGATGATTTGTGAGTTCCCGCGTTTTCAAACTTCTTCCCTATTCTTGGAATTTATGTTTGCTTGAGGGCAAGCAAAAGACTAAGTCCGGGGGAGTTGATATCTTGCGTATTTGACGCATTCTAACCCTTGTTTTCACGAGTTTTATCGAGTCTTTCTAGTCTTTATCGAGTCTTTTCAGGTCTAAAGACGTCCAGGGAGAGCTTCGGTCGCATGGACCAACAATAGGCGAAAGCAGGCAAAATGGAGTGAAGAGGAGGTCGATCGAACCACATCACGAACAAGGGGTTCGATGATAGACCCCTGATTGAAGATCCGCACTTTGAAGCAAGTAAGGATAGAGATGGAGTGATGGAATGGTCGGACTTGTGGAATTGATGGAATGAATAGATGGAATGGATTGAATGGAAGGAATGGATGAATGGAGTGAATGGAAGATCTGATGGAAAGAGATCTCCAACGCCACCTTCTGTCTTGTTGATATAACACACAACAATCTAAAAGGGATTTCTTAGATATAACACACTAAGAGAGGTTGCCTTAGATACAACACACTAAGAGAGACTTTGATCAAACAAAGAGAAAAGGTTTTCATTCAAAAGTAGGTTAAACTTAAAAGGATTTGGTCCAGCAGAATATAAAGGGAAAGAAGAAGGGAAGAAGAAGAGATGAGTCAAGGAACAAGCTCCAATGACCATCTTGGAAACACACAAAGCAATAAATGAGAGTTTGAACACTTGGACTTCATGGCCACGTTTTCAATCTTCCCACTTGATGGGCTTGGGTCTTGATCAGCATAATGGGTTATTGGAATGTGAAACATAAGCCTCATTAAAAACCTTCCTTTGGAAAACCCATTGGGACAAAACCAAAGGTAAGGGAAAAAGAGTGCAAATGAATCACATGCCCATTTGCTGATATCTTGAGCTTGGATCAAAAACCAGGGAGGTTTAGGATCGTGTCTTCTCCACCTTGGCTCAAGATTAACTCCAGAATAAGTAACAAGTTCCATTGATGCAGCTAAAGCTTCCTGATGATAGGATTTGTGTGTGGGTGTGAAATGATATGAATCAGATGTGGTGGAATGCAACAGTGGTAGATGATGAGGTGGTAAGATGCAAACACAAACACAGTCAACAATTCCCTTTAACCATGATAGTTGTTATAGCATAAAGGGTATCAATCCAAAATGGGAGAAGATGTTACTCTATGAGATTATGAAAAGAGAAGGAAGTCAAGCAAGCAGTAATAGATATGGGGTAACACTAACAACCTAAATGAGACAGTAATGAAATGCAGAAAGTAAATAAAGCAGTAGCAACAGCTCGACCAAGGACTCGAGTCGAGTGGGAACAGAGTACCGAGCTCGATCGAGTTTAGGGTCGAGTTGAAGTAAAAAGCAATAAAGGCAGCGACTTTAACAAGCTTATACGAGAATTAGGGTCTAAGACAGGGTTTAACAATCAGAGGAAGGCTATACTTAATCAATCTTGCTCTCAAACAACTTGTATCAAGATATCTCTTGATATTGAGCTTCTCAATGCCTAGCTAACCCTTTCCCAAGGTGAAAGCTATCAACCAAGACTTGATCTCAGAAACAGGGAGTGATGCAAGCTGGGTTTGTCTTCAAGTTTTACCCAACTTAAGTACCTGCAAGTGCACAGCAACGAGGTAAGTATAGTATGGGATCGAATCCACAAGGACCTATCGATTGTGCTACAAGAGAAGAGTTGAAGCGAGCTAAAGCAAAATATGGTTTGAGAGTTTTGGCGATAATAATAAACAGAAATGGGTGTGATCAATAAGGAAACACTAGAAATGGCGGATCGCCGAGATGCATCAAACCTAGACAAAGAAATCAAATGAGAGGGATTCATTAAACCATTCTTGAACTTAAATCACTAAGATATAGTTTTCCACTTTCGTGGCTCCAACACTATGTTTAAACAACCTAATATACTCAGCTTTCGTTGGTTATTAGAAGTTGCAAACATGCATTAAAGTGTTCAAGATTCAATTGTTCACAATACCATAACTCAACTTTCGTTGGCTATGACTATTGCTCACCAAATACTAGTTTTGAGATCTAGATTCAGCACTGTCGTGGTTATTTCCTAAGATCAGATTACTAGATGTATAGAAAAGCAAACGCATTAAGCTCAAGTAAAGGTGAAGATCCATAAGATAAATCCCAATTCACAAATCAAATCATGCCACCATAGATCTCCTCGGCCTAGTAAGAGATCTACTCGGCCATGATGCAAACAAGCAAGCAAAGCATGATTGAAAGCATTATGCAAGTATTAAAAGAGAAAAGGGATGAAGAAAGCTTCTCTATTGATGAACAAAGTCGGATTCTCCCTTGAAAACTCAAAATCAAATAGAAATGGAAACAAGAAAAAGATGAACGAGTTGAGCGTCCTTCGGCTTGGATCCCTAGGGCTTCCTTCTTCCTTCTGGGGGTATTCCTCTTCTTCTCTGACGGCGCACTTCTCTCACACTCGACTCTCTTCTTCAGCGGCTAAAAACATGTATATATGGGCGAAGTCGAGTAGGGTTTTCTTCATGTGGAAAAGGAAAGTTTCCCATGAGCGAGCCTTCTTCTCCACGTCGTGTATGGGCCGACATTGTACCAAGGAAAGCTCCAAACATTAGCCAGGCCTCTTCTCTATTCGATCAAGGCCTTTGGCGCTGCTGCTCGGGCCATTAGACACTCCAAATCCTCCATGGGCTTCGTTTACTCGCTTACCGGACATGTCTCGGTAGAAAATAAGTTCTAGGCCTCATAGTTGATCCAAATGGCTTCATTCCACTTCGACGTGATGCATGACTCAAGTATCTATCTTTCCATATCAAGATCGTAACTTTTGGACGTCGGGAACTCCTCCGCGCGCGGCCAAACTTCCGAAGCTTCGTTCTGCGCGCTAGCGAGAACTAACACTTGGAGATAAAATGATCTTCTTGACTTGGAAACTTGCATGGATCTTGATTTAGGGCTCTTTTACTCCTTTTTGCATCCTTTTTGATGGTTTCACCTACAAAGACTTCAAATCCCACAAATACAAGAAAACTACCTCTAAAGGCAAAGAATCTTGCAAAAACCGTTTGAAAACATAGTAATTATATAGTAAAATCATGTAAAATATGGTGATATCAACTCCCCCAGACTTAGCCTTTTGCTTGTCCCCAAGCAAACTAAGCAGGAAAAGAGGTTTGAAAACGTGAGAACTCTCAAATCTTTTGGAAATCCAAATTGACTTATGCTTTAGTAATCCACATGAAACAGCATTGGCAAATTTTGAATTAAGAACAAAGTACATACCATGAGTTTTGCGATTTTCCCAAAGCGGTCCACCTCTCCTTGGACAATCCAATTCGCCACCCTTGACTCCTTTCATTTCTAAAGGTGTGGTCTCAACTAGGGAGTATCGATCAGCCGGCTTTAGACTCTTACTCATCCCCTTGTTTGGCACTTGTCTTTTTACTCCATGTTTCTCCTCTCTCTCTTCTCACTTCTTTGAGTTGATTCATCCCTTTTTTAGGGTAGCGAAGTATTTTTTTATTCAACTCCTTCTCTTTATTATAGAGGTTTTGCTTGGATCTTCCACAGACGCGAGTATTGATGGTGTTTGCCACCGAATCCCCGGTTGCTTGGATTCATAGGCCTTCCATAGACGCGAGTATTGATGGTGTTTGCCACCGAATCCCCGGTTACTTGGACCTTACGCTTTTTCTTTTAAATTTGAAGGGGAGAGAGAGGGAAGCACGAACTCACTAAGACTTTTTCATTTGATGGAGAGGATGAGGAATCATGCCATTTGTATGCCAAGCCCCTAGCTGAGAAGATTAAGTTCATTAAGGGCGGATGATGTACTTGCATTTTACATAGTTTTAGCACATCTTTTATGCATCTTTTGCATAGTTTTAGCTTCCATTTGCATCATATCTTGTTCCTTTTCTCTTCTTATGCATTCATGTTAGTTTTAGGTTGCATTTGCATACATATGCATGTTTGGTCCTTTGAAATAGGTCTTTTGGAGCATTCTGGAGCATATGGGACATAAGGAGCATGGAGGGACTTGGCACATGGAAGCAGCTCAACTGGATACGCAAAGGAAGAAGGGAGAAGCCATCTTGAAGACCAGCTCGACCGTCCACTCGACCAACCGGTCGAGTTCCTCAACTCGACCGGCCAAGCTTCAACTCGATCGAGCTGGAAGTCAAAGTCAAACCCGAAAAATGTTGCTTCCCCCTTGACTTTCCTTTGACCCTAAACCTAATCCTCTTGTATTTAAAGGCTCTAAGCCACGAAAAAACCACCAAGCTTTAGATTATTTTGTTTTAGTTTCTTTTAATTTATTGTCTTTTACTTTTTAGAATCTAATCCCATCTTTGTGTTCTTGAAGCTCTTGCTTCTTGAATCTAGATCCTGGATAATCTCTTTGTATTTGCACTTGCTTATTTCAATAAAAGTTGTTTAATTTCATCTCCTCTTTCTTATGATGTCTCTTTTATTGCATTTGCTTGTGTTTACATTCATGTGTAGTGAGTAGTTACCCATTAGGGTTTGAGATGGGATAGATTAGAGGTTTCATATGCTTAATCCTTCTAGCTTATGGTCTTAATCTAGATTCTCTCTCTTTTGGATAGATCTTAAGGCTACATGACCACTACCCCTGGCTTGTAAGTCCTTAGGCGACTCCCCACACGAAGTGATGGCATTCGCTGGAAAAGATCCACTAAGAGCTCCAATATCTCTTGCTCTAGACAATAGAGGTCTAAGGGGTTGGATGGATTAGTTTGGGCAATGATCCTATAGCCTCCAAGGTTTGATTCTCACTGGCTAACCCCCTGTTTCTGAGATCATTCCTTGGTTGATAGCCTCCACCTTGGGAAAGGGTTGGCTAGGCATTGAGAAGCCCAATATCAAGAGAAGCCTTGATACAAGGAGTTTTAAGAGCTAGATTGATTAAGTGTAGATTCCTTTGATTGCAAAACCCTGTCTTGAACCCTAATTCTCTCTTTATCTTGTTAAAGTCGTCACCTTTAGCTTTTTTGTCTCAACTCGTCCCTAAACTCGATCGAGCTGGTACTCTGTCCACTCGACTCGAGTCCTTGGTCGAGCTGACTTACTTCACTGCTTTGTTTACTTTTATTGCACTGCATTTTCATTTTTAGGTTGTTAGTGTTACTTCAAATCTATAACTGCTTGCTTGACTTTCTGGTTGTTTCATATTCTCATAGAGTGACAAGTTTCCCATTTTGGATTGATAACCTCTTATACTTCAATGACTATGATGGTTAAAGAGGAATTGTTGACTGTGTTTGTGTTTGCATCTTACCACCTCATTTACCACTGATTGCATTCCACTCATCTCATTTCATTCTTTTCACACACACACAAATCCTATCATCAATTTGGCGCCGTTGCCGATTTGGGAATATTTTTGTTGCATTTGAGTTTCAAACATACTTGGACGATCAAGCTATACCACCCCTGTTCTATTGTACTGCTGGGTTTTTGTCTCTTTTTGCAGGTGTATGCGAACTCGATCGAGTCGGTCTAACTGAAGACTTGGTCGAGCTAGACATTACAACGGGTAGAAAGAGGGTTCAGAGGTCACAGAGGGTACAAGAGGAACCTGAGGTGCTTGTTGCTGATACAATGGATGTACCAGAGGGGAATGGAAACCCTTTGGGCATGGACTCGGTCGAGCTAGGCAAACTCGACCGATTGGTCAAGGAGATGCTCCAAACCGCCACCAACAGAGACAAGGGATTGTTCCACCACCAGTGCAGAACCACAACTTTGAGATCAAGCTGGGAATGATCAACCTTGTCCAGAACAAGATGTTCCATGGATTGCCAAGTGAAGACCCCATTGACCACCTTGATGAGTTTGATAGGCTTTGTGATTTGACAAAGATCAATGGTGTCTCTGAAGATGCCATCAAGCTGAGACTCTTTCCTATGTCTCTAGCTGACAAAGCTCACCAATGGGAGAAGAGCTTGCCCCATGGCACAATCACCACTTGGGATGAATGCAAGAAGGCCTTTCTTGCTAAGTTTTTCTCCACCGGTCGCACAGCCAAGCTTAGAGGAGAGATATCCAGCTTCATCCAGCGAAACAATGAGACATTCGCAGAGGCTTGGGAGAGGTTCAAAGGCTACACAAGTCAGTGCCCACACCATGGATTCAACAATGAATCACTACTCTCCACTCTTTATAGAGGATGCTTGCCTAGGTATAGGGAGATGCTAGACACAGCTAGCAATGGGAACTTCCTCAACCAGGATGTAGATGATGGCTGGCAACTTGTGGAGAACATAGCTAACTCAAATGGAAGCTATGGAGAAGAGTATGATCGCACCAACCGGAGCTCGACCCACCACTCGATCGAGTCAGACGAAAAGTTGAGAAAAGATGTTAAGGCATTGAATGAGAAGTTGGATAAGCTGATCCTAGCTCAGTCCACAATGAAGAAAGTCAACTTTGTGTCTGCTGAGGAGATGGAACCAGTCCAAGAAGGGGAGGATACACAATTTGCTGAGGTGTGCTACATGAGCAATGGGCAAGGAGGTTACAACAAAGGATACTATAACTACAAGTCCAACCCTGCCATGTCATACCGCAACACTGATGTTGCTAACCCTCAGGACCAAGTCTATCCTCAACAACAAGCAGCTCGATCGAGTCAAGGCCACAACATGGGTATGGTCAAAAGAACAATTACCAAGGACCACAAGGCACTTTCCCTGGACAACAAATGAATATCCCACCAGGCTTCCCCCACCAACCGCCCCAGCCTGCACCTTCACAAGAGAATGAGCTCAAAGCAATGCTAAAGCAACTACTTCAAGGGCAAGCTGATGGGGTAGTGGACACAAGCAAGAAGCTAGCTGAAATAAACTCTAAGATCGAGAACCTCAACACAAGGGTTTACTCTCTGGAGAATCATGCTTCTTCTGTTGCTGCTGCTACAAAGCAAGGACAACTACCTGGTAAAGCTATTCAGAACCCCAAGGAACAGTGCAAGGTCATCTTCACTCAAGAAGGACTTGTTGAAGAAGAGGATCAAGAAAGGGTCATTGAAGATTTTTGTTTACTGCTGAATGATGAAGAGATTGTTGCTGCTGAGGCTCCTGGAGTCCAGATTGATCAACCAGAAGTGCATGCACCTACTGTGGCCATTCACACTTCACCAGTTGAGCTCGCACGACAAGCTCGATCGGCAGCTCGATCGAGTCCAACTCTAGCTCGATCGAGTCCGACCTCTTCTGTCCGACAGCCTGTTTTGCTTGATCCTTATCAACCGGTTGCCGCTTCCTCGTCTCGCCTACTTAGTCAAGGTCACAAGGAAGTGATTCACAAGTTCAGAAGAGATCTCAGTGGGATTGGAATTGAGTTGCCTCTATGGATAGCATGAGTGAGGCATTTGATCAAATGCAAATGGTCAAGGATGTTCTGCCAACAGTGATAAAGTTTCAGAGGTCCTACAAGAGTCTACTCATCAGTTCAACCTGCTTACTTCACCCACCTTCCTACCAAAGGTCAAGGATCAAGGGAAATTCACTCTCCCTTGCACACTTGGGCATCTTGAGATTGACAATGCCTTAGTGGATTCTGGAGCAAGCATCAATCTGATCTCTCTCTCCATGGCAGAGAAGCTAGGCATAGCTGGAGCCTTGCAGCGCCCTACTACTTCAATCATCTTTGGAGATGCAACTACTAAGTCTCCTCTTGGAGTGTTCAAGAACTATCACTTGAAAATTGGAGAATGCATCATCCAAACTGATCTCACTGTGATGGAAATGGAAGAAGAGAAGGATTTGCCTTTTATTGGGAACCCCTTTCCTTAGTACAGTTGGCGCTTCAATTGACTTTCACAAGCAAGAAGTGATCCTTCACAAGGTGAATAGTTTGGTGTCATATCGCTTGCAGCCTAGAGGTTCAGACTTTTGTGCCACAATTGACAGTACCAATCTCAGTTCTAAGAGTCATGGAGCTACAAAGGTTGTGAAGGAAAGGGTTGACAAGGAACCAAGAGTTGGGAAGGATAAGGATGAGAGAGGACCAAGGATTGAGAAGCCACGTCTTGAGAGGGCTAGAGTTGAGAAACCACGATCTGATAGGCCAAGAGCTGAGCGACTTGTTCAAGCCCCTTGTGTGCTTGATGAAGAGAGCCTTCAAGCTTTGTTTGATGAGCCACTAGGAAGGGCTCTACAAGAAGGGGAGGATGCAGCCTCTAAGGCAAGACCAGGAGATAAAAGAAAGGATCCACCAGCTCAGGCCCCTTCAGTCAAGCCATCTCAGCTCACAATGACCTTGTTCCCCACCAAGTTTGAAAATGGGAAGATTGAGTACAAGATAAGGTACAAGGGGAGATCAAGGCCATTCTCTAGAGCCAAGGCCTTGGTGACTTCAGAACAGTCCAGGGACCCAACCAAGCTAAAGGAGCTTCTGTCTCAAGTCCTCACTATCACCCTTGATGGTGGGACTAGCTCAACCAATGCCTAAGAAGGTAAAGGTCAAGCTATGGGACCTTAAACAAGCTCACTTGGGAGGAAGTCCCATGTTTATCCTTGTACATACTCTATTTATGCAATTTCTATCTTTATGTTTTTAACCTTTCAATAAGTTAAGTTTAGGTGTCAAGGAGCCAGCTCGACCCACAGCTCGATCGAGCTAGAAACCAGGGCAACTCGATCGAGTACTCAACTCGACCAAGGTAAGTTTTTGAATTTCAAATTCATAACCGTTTTTTGGTCAAGGGAGTGGGTCCCACAAGCTGATTTTGGTCCCCCACTACCCTAATTCGATCAGAGAATCCCTAGTTTCTTGTTCCCTCTTTATCCCATCTTTTAATCTCAACCACACATCTCAAACAACTCTCTTCCCCATAACTCGATCGAACCCACTTCCTCTCTCCCACACTCTAAATTTCTGAAATCATCCATCTCTCTCTTCACCACAAGAAAAATCGAGTTTCAATCTCTCTCTAAGTTTTTGCGATTTCATTGTTCATCTCTTGTTTTGCTTAGTTCTTAGTTTACTGCTCTTCAATTCCATCATTCAACAAGGTATGAACCCTAAAACCCTTACTCCTCCATCTCGATTCCTTTGCTTGTTTCTCTTGATTTTTGATTGCATGTGTCCCTTGTGGACTTGTTATTGAGAATTGCTTTCATATTTCGCTCTGCCTGTAACTTGTTAGTTTGCTTCACCTCACCTCTGTTTTGCCTTTAAACTTGTTGCATGTGCTTGAAAGGTTGAATTTGAGTTTGGTAATGGTTAGGTTGCTATGTTTTTCACTAGAATTGCTTATTGTTCCATTTACTAGTTGTTCTTGGTTCAATTTGATTGATTAGCATCCTTTCCAGCTCTTAATACATGAATTAGGTTTGGTTATACTCTGTTTTCACCCAACTCGATCGAGTTTGTCACTCGAGTTTTTTGACTCGATCGAGCTGAGTGTCGAGTTGACCAAACCGATCATTACAACTCTAATTCTTTGAACTTTTGATGCATTTCAGGGACCAATCTAAGATGTTGAGAGGTGAAGGAAGCAAGCAGCGTTCACAAGGATGGAGATGATAAGAGGAGCAAGGAGGATACTCAAAACACAAACCAAGGAGGACATAGAAGAGGTTGAGAGGGTGAGGGAGGAAAGGAGAACCAAAAGAAGGAATGATCCTCTCAGCAGTGAGAGCGAAGCAGGAGAGTTTGAAATTGGGGTGAACATCCCACATGAGGAGAATGATGACTCCCAAGTGAAGAAGAGGGTGAAGAGATCAATCAAGAGATTGAGGAGAGTGAGCATGAGGGCAATGAGAATGTGCCCATGGAAGAGGAGGAGTCAAGTGAAGAAGAGGATGAGCTCCCCATGTACCAAGAGCACTATGATGCTCTTTCTCCATGGACTTCATGGACACCAAGTACCCACATGTTGACACCATGAAGGCCCTTGGAATCTTTGAAGATGTGGAGTTGGTCCTCAAGAACATGCACTTGGCCAAGCTCTTCTCCTACCACATGGAATCCTACAAGGAGCTCACTTGCGAGTTCCTAGCTTCAATGAGGTACCACATGTATGAGGAAGAAGATAGAGCTGATTTGGACCAAGGATTGGGATGGATCACGTTCTTGGCTAAGGGAGAGAAGAGAATGGTGACCTTTAGGCAGCTGGAGATCTTGTTTGGGTTCAACTATGGAGAGGGAACCAAGTGGAACTTCAAGGAAAAGGAACTCCAAAGGGTTTGGGCTACAATCGCTGATGGAGTGTACTCTTCCTCAAGGTCCAAGGCAGCTCAGATCAGGAGCCCAGTCTTGAGATATGTGCACAAGGCACTTGCCAACACCTTCTTTGCAAGGAAGGCAACCGGGACAATCAACGAGGGGGAACTCAAGTTTCTTGACATGGGAATCAAGCCCCTTCTCTCACGCACAAGCGATGGCAAGAGGATAAGGGGAGATAGGTCTGACACAGGGAACTTGATGCCTTTCCTTGACCACCTCCTCACCTACAAGATCACAGCTTACAACACTAGGCACCAAAGAGGAAGAAAGCTTAGTATTGGAGGGCTCATCACACCTATCTTGTGTGCTGCTGGAGTAAACCCAACTGATAGGAGAGCTACTGAACCAGGTTGGATGGACATCAAGTTCTTGCAAGACCAACCTCCTCATTGAGCACAAGGAGTTAGATGGGAGGTTCCAATTCAAGTTCACACATCCATTGGTTGGACCCTCCAAGCTTCTCCTGCCTAACCCAGAGCTCACCACAGTTGTAAGGGGTGAGAACATTGATTTTAGACCCCCTGTGTACACATTAGTTGGGCATGAGGATGATTGCGAGAAGAGGAGCCTGAGCTCGATCGAGCTGAGTCTCGAGCTGAGGGTCGAGCTGAGGATCGAGCTGAATATCAGGTCCAGGAGCGCTGACTTGGGTGAGCCTGAGTGCTACTACTTTGAGGAGTATGAGGCTCCAAGGATGAACCCCTCTGTTGTGGCTGCCCACAAGAGGATTGGACTTCTCCAAAGGTTCAACAAGTGGCAAGGGAAAGCCATGGAGAAGATGCAAAAGTCCATGGACAAGATGGTGAGCAAGATCAAGAGTTTGGAGAAGAAAGTTTCTGGTTCTTCAAGCAAGAAGAAGTCCAAGGCTCCCACTTTCCCTAGGAGTAGGTCACTCCTCACCACCCAAAGAAGGCTCCCTGCCCAAAGAGCCTCACAGAGCCTCTTCTTTCGAGCCAAGAAGGAGAGACAACACGCAGAGAAGGAGGAAGAGTTCCAAGGCCAGACGCTCCAGCTCGACCACCGGACTCGATCGAGTCCAAACAGAGGAAACTCAACTCGATCGAGCTGAGGTCGAGTTGACCTGGAGGAGCCCCTGTTTGAGATCCTGGATTCGAGTACGATTCAACCCAGTACCAGGACTTCTCTCAGACCTCTGGACTCCCTACAACCGCTTCGAGCGAGCACAACTCCACCAAGGCCAAGGAAGCCACACCCACTTTGAAGATGAAGAAGAAGAGGAGAGGAGCCACAAGCTCGATCGAGTGAGCCGAACCCAGTTGAGTGGAGCGCTCCTGATGGCCGTCTACCATCTCCAGACCACGACCTAGCCTCCCAGTTCTTTGGGGGGCACTGAGGTATCCAAACACCAACCCTTGTATATACCATTTCATATTTTCTTTCTTTGTTCTTGTTTTTTCTTGGTTTTGCCCTCTTGAATCTTTCACTGAATTTTTCTCACACAAGGGACTGTGTGATTTAAGTTTGGGGGAGGGTTCAAGAGATGATTTAACCTTGTTTTCTTTGTTCTTAGTTTTTCATTTATCTTTTGCATAGAAAAACCAAAAAAATCATAAAATTTTCAAAAAATCCAAAAATATTTTCATCTTTTTGCATTCATATTTGTTAGACTTGTTTAGGATTGCATTTTTCACTTGCATTGTTGATTTGACTTTGAAAACTTGTCCATCTTTTGCGATTTCTTGAGTGCCCTGTTTTTAGATTCTTTTGTGCATTAGGGTGAGATTGATTGAGCAGCAAGAACCATGTTTATCTTGATCATATCGCTGCATGCACATCTCATTCAACCATTGCTGTGATTTGATGCATTTCCCTATCTATTTGAACCATAACTTGATCTTTAATTACCAATGCTTGCATTTGATTTCAACTCATGGCTACCACATACATATCTGGACATTCTTTTCACTTTCATATCCCTTTTGCTTGTCCAGATAGCTGATCTCTATCCTTTGAGACAGTTACCACACCTTAAACCTAAGCCTTTTCATTTCAAACCCCTTATTATCTCTTGTGCGAATGTGAGAACCTTTCTTGGCTTTGCTTAGCATAAGGTGTTGTGTTTAAACCGGCAGGGGCAGTAGTTCTAGTTGTCTAGTTCTCTTGGGATTGTTTTCAGGCTAAGTTTGGGGGTGCCAACTCGAGCTCGATCGAGTTGGGTGTAATCCTAACTCGATCGAGTTCAACACTTAGAGCCTTTTTAGAACAACATCCTAACTACCCTTTTTGGCATTTCGCCTTTGAAACTGAGGAGCTTTGCTCACTTTTCTTTTAAGAACTTCCTAGGGAGAGGCTTTTTAAGGTAACATCTAGCGGTTTGGGATTTTTCTAAAACTTAGGGAACTTTTCTTCACTTTTTTAACACTTGATTTGAACATTTTTATCACCACGCTTGAGTCGTTCGTTGGAGCTGCTATTGCCTCGACCCACTTGGAGACATAGTCCACTGTCACTAGAATGTATTGGTCTCCAAAAGATGTGGGAAAGGGCCCATGAAGTCAATTCCCCAAACATCGAACACCTCAACTTCCAAGATAAAGATTTGGGGCATCTCGTTCCTCTTGCTTATATTCCCCATTCTTTGACAAGCGTCGCAGCGCGAAATGAATGCTTGAGCGTCCTTAAACATCGTAGGCCACCAAAAACCTGCTTGCAAGACCTTAGAGACTGTCTTGAACGTGGCAAAATGACCTGCGTAAGCCGATCCATGACATCCGTTCAGAATCCCGGCTATCTCCTCCTCTGGCACGCATTTTCTAAACATTCCATCTTGGCATTTCTTGTAGAGGTACGGTTCGTCCCAGAAGTAAAATCTGATGTCTTTCAAAAATTTCTTCTTCTTGTATCCATAGAAGTGCGGAGGTTCTATGTCGGCCGTGAGATAGTTGGCTATATGACGATACCAAGGTGCGCCAAAAGCAATTCTCCTCTCCGTGGTGGCTCTTGGTGTGGTCTCCTCCCTCGATATAGGCACTGCACTGACTGCATAGACCGTTTCCTCTGGTAACGAGTCATCTATAGGTATGCTCTCTTCAATTCTCATTCTTGAAAGATGGTCGGCCACGCCATTCTCCGCGCCTTTCCTATCAATGATCTTTAGGTCAAATTCTTGCAAAAGAAGTATCCAGCGTATAAGTCTTGGCTTTGCATCTTTCTTTGACAGCAGATAATTGAGCGCCGCGTGGTCGGTATGCACTATGACTTTCGAGCCAACAAGATAAGAGCGAAACTTCTCGAATGCGAAGACAATCGCCAATAACTCCTTCTCCGTGGTGGCATAGTTGCATTGTGCCTCGTCGAGGGTCCGGCTTGCATAGTATATGACGTGGAGTTTCTTCTCTTTTCTTTGGCCTAGCACAGCTCCAACGGCGTAGTCGCTTGCGTCGCACATAATCTCAAAAGGAAGCTCCCAATCCGGTGATTGTACGATCGGCGCGCTAATGAGAGCCTCTTTGATCGTTCTGGTGGGTATGAGTTCGTCATTCTCATTCCTTATGACCGTTACTCCTTCCTTTTTTGGAACTACGTGGACCGGGCTCACCCATGTGCTGTCCGAGATAGGGTATATCACTCCAGCTTCCAAGAGTTTCATTATCTCCTTCTTCACGACATCTTTCAAGTTTGGGTTTAGTCTCCTTTGATGCTCTATGGAGGACTTAGACTCATCCTCGAGATGTATCCTGTGCATACAAAGATCAGGAGAAATACCGGCTATATCCTCAAGGGTGTACCCAAGGGCCTTGTTGTGTTTTCTTAGTTCGCAAAGTAATAGCGCGGTCTCTACATTTGACAAGTTTGAATTAATTATCACTGGGTATGTATTGTTGGGACCGAGGAATGCGTACCTTAGCCCTACAGGGAGCTCCTTAAGTTCAATGTTTGGTGCTCTTAGCTTACTCCATGGCTCCTTTGATTGCTTCAATGCTTCTTTTGAGGTGTTTGCGCTTATTACTTCTTCCCCCAGACCAATGTAAGCCACTAGGCTTTTGTAAGTCTCCGCGTCGTCTAGAAGTTTGGTTATCTCCCGCGCTTCTCTGTTAAAGTAGCCTCCTTCTTTCTCCATATGGGTTAGTGCCACTTCTAAAGGATCGTCCATTATCATCTCCTCGTACACTCCTTCAGAAACTTCACTTAGATTGTCCACCAAGAAAGAGAATCCGTCGATGGTTGGTTTCCCCAAGGTCTTGTCAATTTGAAACTTCATCACCAAGTCTCCTAAGTGTAGGTCTATCTTTCCTCCCTTTAAATCAATAATAGCTCCGGCCGTGGCTAAGAATGGTCGCCCGAGGATCAAGGGATCTCTTGGTTCCTGATCTAGTTCTAGCACCACAAAGTCGGCCGGTATGAAATACTTCCCGACCATAACTTGTACATCGCTCACGATGCCAATAGGCCGCCTCACCGATCGATCAGCAAAAACCAATTGAATCTTTGTAATCTTTGTAGGTCTAAAGCTTGTTATGCCAAGGCGCTTGGCCACTGTATAGGGCATCAAGCTTCACACTCCGGGGCTTTAAAGTTTTGGAGGGCTTGGCTACAATCTTCTGTTATCAACATCACTCCCTCTTCTAGACTCAAGTTGCTAGTGAGTATGCTCTTCATATACTTCCTCAATGATGGAATAATCATGCAAGCATCGACAAAAGGGAGCCTTACGCTTAGTTGGCTCACAAGGTCCTTCAACTTTGCTTGCTCTTTCTCTTTCTTGGGCTTCTTCACTGATCCGGGGTAGGGCACTTTTGGCTTATATACGCGCAGAGTAGGTGTTGGTGGCGCTGCGCTCTCCTCAAGATTTGTCTTTGTTTGCTCGCCAGCCGCTTCTTCCACATTTCCAATATTACCTCCGGTTGAGGTTCTTTCCTTATGAGCTCCGGTGGCATCTCCACTTCGTCTAACTGCGTACCGCTCCTAAGAGTGATGGCCGCTATATGTTCCTTCTTGGGGTTAGCCTCAGTTCGACCAGGGAGGACTCCAAGCGGTTTCTTGATTGTACCGGCTATGTTTGCTATTTGAAGATCAAGCTCCTTGATGTGCGACTCTAGCGATCCAAATTTATTGTTCAAGTCGTGATACACATAGTGTATCTTCTCGTTGATCTCCTTGTTCGCTTTCTCTGTTCACCAATGAACTCATAGATCAAGGCTTTGAGCTCTCCTCCATGCTCCTTAGCGCTCGGGTTTCAGCCGGGTGTTGATCTCTGCTTGCTTATGTAAGCACTTCTCTCTCATCGACCTGGTGCCCGTACTTGTTCTCATGGGGGCTTTGGCGATGCTCCGGTTCTCTCTCCAAAAGCTTAGCGATCATGGACTTCAGCTCCTCAAACTCAACTAGTCCCGGTCTCGCGTTGATTGCCTTGATTGTTTCTTCATAGCTCGGTTGATTCTTGCTATCACTGACCGCTAAGTTATCAATCAGTGTTTTGGCTTCCTCTATGGACTTACTCATGAAGTTCCCGTTGCTAGCTATATCAAGATACAGCTTGTGCTCGCGCCTTATTCCCTCATAAAACGTGTTCCACAAGTTTACTTCCGAGAAGCCATGTTGTGGGCAATCTCTTATGTATTCCTTGAAGCGCTCCAATCCCTCATGATACGGCTCTATTGGCCCTTGCTGAAAGCCAACGATCTTGCTCCTCATCAAACTAGTCCGCTGCTTTGTATAAAACTGACCAAGAAAAGCTTTCTTGAACTCCATCCATGTAGTGATTGAGCGAGACGGGAGAGACTTGAGCCACTTGAGTGCTTTTCCCGCCAAGGTAAAAGTAAAGAGCCGGCATCTCAAGTAGTCGCCCGGAACTCCATTTGCACTAGTTGTGCTGCACAATTCTTCAAAAGAATCGACATGATCCAACGGATCTTCTTCGATAAGCCCGTGGTATTGACTTTGTTTTACCAAAGCGATAACTCGCGGCTTGATTTCAAACTGGTGGCCCTCGTAAGTCCGGATAGGGCTACGGCTTTGGAGAAGCTCTGGTCTAGAGTCACTGTCTCCAACGGTCTCTTGGTTCTCCCCTCCTTGGTGATCGCCTAAGTCTCCTCGGTGTAGCCTATCGGCTCGGTTAAGCTCCGGTCCAAGGCCTTCTCGTGGTATGCGGTCTTGGACCTCGTCCAAAGGCGGCTCATCAAGATGGTTCCTCCAAGGATTTGGTTGCTGGTCACGTATTTCTCCAGCCATGGCACGCTCAAGTTGTGCCTGTCAAAAGAACAAAAAATAAAGAGTAAAATGCGCTTTAGTCTA